AATAGTATCTTGTTTAACCCTCATGCTTATAATTCGGATATATAGTGTCTCATTCATTCATTCAGTAGCATGTCCCTCGCGGAACCTCGCTGCCATAACAACCCTCCGGAAAACCTTCCTATCATGAGCAAGATGTCCTGCGTCTGATACACCCATCTGGAGATCATCTGCCACATCCTGCACCCATCTTCTCCTTGGCCTTCCTCTTCCTCTCTTCCCAGGCATATACCCCTCCATTATTGTTCTCTCTAGACCTCCATGACGTTTCAAGTGACCAAAATATTTCAATTTTCTTTGTTTTATTGTCTTTACTAGCCAACCCTCTTCAATATTCAGCTCTTGAAGTATGGATGCATTTGTTCTTTTCTTTACCCAAGATATTCTTAGAACCTGTCTGTAACATTTATATTCAAATGCATTTATGCGCTGTTCCGCTTGTTTAGTAAGTGTCCAGGTCTCACAGGCGTATGTTGCAATGGGAAAGATGCATGCTCTTAAAAATCTGACCTTTGTAATTCTATCTGTACAATTCCATAATTTATTCAGTTGTTTTAGTCTTTGAAGAGCAATTGATAGTCGCCGTTTAATTTCTTTCATTGTGTCACCATTGTTGGTAACCAGTGACCCAAGATATTCGAAATTTTCCACCACTTCCAATCTTTCCTCAATAGTGTCTAGAAAGATTAAAATCTCAGTTAAGTACGTAAATAATTCATTCATTCATTTATAAAAAATAAAATGAATTATATTTATTCTGTTGTGCCATTGAATGTCACACAGTCTATTACTCAATTCTAATCATCCTGTGCAATTATTTCAATATCATGAAGGGAATCCAGCCCAGCAGATTTGGCCTCTCTCATCAACTTTCGTCTTAGTGTTTCTCTTGAGCATTCTCACCTCCTTAATCCATTTTCCCCCATTGTATTGCCTCATTGGTTATTCTCTGCTGGTGTCTTCTAAGGATGTGACCAATGCAGCGCCATCTTCTCCGTCACATTACTGTTGCTACTAGTGAATGCAGAGACATTTCTCTTATTTCTTCACTTCTTTTGAATTTATTCCATTTTATTTTTGTAATTTCCATCAGACATTTGTTTTCAAATGTATTTAACGTTCGTTCGGTGTCTTTACTGGTTCTCCAGCTTTCACTTGCATCTATAAAATGGAAACAACATTAGTAGGGATGCTAGAGAAATTTTGGCTCTCCTTGCAATAACGGTCGCTAGTTGGACGGCAATGGCCGCTTCGTCGAAGTTCAGTCCCCTGGCTGCAGTGAAATTACGGAGTGGAAAAGAGGGAACAAAACAAATGACATAATCAGGGTTAGGGTTAGGGTTTGGTTTACAAGAACGTGGTCGCTAATGTGAGTCGCAGCGCGTGGTCTAAAAGCCATGTTGAACTCACTTTGTTTTGTGATTCGTGCCTTGTCCTCCGTAATTGCACTGCAGCCAGGGGACTGAACTCCGACTAAGCGGCCGTCGCCGTCCAAGTAGCGACTCTTATTGCAAGGAGAACCAAAATGTTATATACTGGTTTTTTTTTTAACTTATGAAACCATCACAGCTAGATAGAAATAACAAATCCAGTGATACCTCATTGAAGCCTGCAAGTCAATTCTAAGTTGAGATATTACAATTTTAGTGTTTGATACCACCATCGACAAATTATAGTGGAATCTGACAAAAGATGGATTCCACACTGCGTTCCAGTAAAATGAAGGATGGAAATTACTATATGTTTGCATTTTATGGCAATAACTATTTTGTTGTTTAACGAATCTCTTAGCAACTATATTTCATTACAATTGTCTGGTAGTCTTAGTTTCAGCTTCATAGCAAACCGGTCACCCCATCTTTGCTCCGCTCCTGTGCCAACGAAAAACACACAGAATGTTTAACACAGTCCCTTGTGAAAGATTGACAGACTGCTATCTCAGCATATCTAGCATACACACGCATTAAAGCATACGGTAGCCATCCGAAAAGCTCACACAAATAGTCCGAAATTAGAAATGCAGTTCATCATTGATGGTAGCAGAAGTTACCAACAGATCAGCAGTTGCCCTCGCGATCAATTTTAATCACATACCGGCACCACTAACATTGCGACAACTGGCATCACGCCATGTTCTGAATCTACAATTTACACCACCACGTTGGTCACAGTCAAAAAAACATTCCAAATAATATCCGCAGCTCTATCTAGAAGACCAAAAGACAATTGATAAACACCATCTTCATTCCAACACTCTGCTACCAGTGCCAGACATGGACAATCAACAAGACCCATGAAAGAAAAATAGAAGCCTGTGAAATGAAATGTCTAAGAAAAGCAGCGAATAAGACAAGACTAGACAGGATAAAGAATATAGACATTAGAAACACTGTCAAAACTACACCATGTTTAGACTACATAGAACATCAAAGAATGAAATGGTTTGGACATCTAACCAGGATGAAAAATGATCAAATAACATCACAAATTTTCAATCAAAGAAGCTCAGGATATAAGGCAAGAGGAAGACCAAGGAAACGGTGGATTGACGGGGTCTCCGAAACCTGCCAAAAGCATGGCCTCAGAACATCAGATGCTGCCCGCCTTGCTTATGACAGGAACTTGCATCTCCCCACAACGCTTAGCGGCATACGTGGAAGGAAAAAGTAAAAAGTAAAAGTAAGTAAAGCTCTATCTAGTCTACAAATGGAGCAAAAATGCATCGGCCACCGTCTGGCACAAGCAAAAAAATTGCCTCGGCTCCAAACAGTGCCCCTGCCTAGCGTCCATTTTGACTGAAAGCATATATCATTACAATTGGGGCAGTGTGGCCTAACTGTATACTCATTCCTCAAATGCATATGATGCAATATGGGCCTTATTAACATATGAAAATGGCCACAAGCTCACTGTTTTTAAGTAAACAGCATTAATATTTGTGTTTATTTGCCATTACAGAAACACAACATGACATTGACACAAACTACCCAAAAGACAGGAAACTATATCTAACTCTTCTTTGTGATGCCTCGCAGCATAAGCAACAGGACACAAGAAGAAAAAGAAGAACTGTAGACATATCTGTTGCAATGCTTTACACTTTGTTTTGTTTTCCAGTGCTTTACACTTTGTTTTGTTTTCCAGTGCTTTACACTTTGTTTTGTTTTCCAGTGCTTTACACTTTGTTTTGTTTTCCAGTGCTTTACACTTTGTTTTGTTTTCCAGAAAAGCTAGTTCTAAACGTTTAGACAGCAAGAGCACCATGGATTTTGTGATTAAAAGGACAGAAAAATAATAAAATGGTAAGTTGGTTTTTCTCGTTGATTAGCTCAGCTAGTTGTGAATTCTTTGGTCCCTGTTCAGACTCGATTCTGAGGGGAAAAGAATAGACCCACTGCCCCATGTCACAATAGGTGACTTCTCCTTCTTTATGCTCACTGGCTGTAAACTCTGGCGGAAAGTTCTGGTTGTTCATTCACCTCTAGACTTTAGTCTTGTTTCATATCCTGAGTGTTGCATGCACATCCATTTTACAGATCTGGTAGTCTGGTAGTCATAGTTTCAGCTTCATAGCAAACAGGTCGCCCCATCTTTGCTCCGCTCCTGTGCCAGCGAAAAACACCCAAAATGTTTATCACAGTCCCTTGTGGAAAGATTGACAGACTGCTGTCTCAGCATATCTAGCATACACTCGCATTAAAGCATATGGTAGCCATCCGAAGTGCTAACACAAACAGTCCAACATTAGAAATGCAGTTCATCATTGATGATAGCAGAACTTGTCGCCAACAGATCAGCAGTTGCCCACGCGATCAATTTTAATACGGGCCCCGCCAGCATTGCACGACAGGCATCGCGCCATTTTCTGAATCTACAATTCACACCACTTTGGTCACAGTTGAAAAAACATTCCAAATGCAATCCGCAGCTCACAGGGTCACGCCATGCATTCAACTCAGAAGCTGGGCGACGAAACTATATCCAGTCTACAAATGGAGCAAAAATGCATCGGCCACCGTCCGGCAGAAGCAAAAAATTTGCCTAACTAGAGTCAAAAAATTTGCCTCTGCTTCGAACAGCGCCGCTGTCTAGCGTCTATTTTAACCGGAAGGTATGCAAAATCTTGGTTCCCTGCATCTCGGGCAGTTGCACTCCGACTTCAAAAGATGTTCCCAATTAGTCGACTCCTATGACATGCTTAATGGAGAGGCTTAATGGGGTTTTAGTCACAATGAGGCCCCCAGAACCCGGGGGAATAGGTGACTATTTAAGGTTTGCTTAAACTGGATATGGTGAGCCAATAAGCACAGATACCACAGCCTAGGTATAACAGCTAGTAAACATGCTAACTGCCCTTATAAGGGTTATTGAATAAGAAGAAAAGGAAGAAGAAGAAGAGGTCAAAGGTTAGAAGAAGAAGAAGTAGAAGAAAAAAAAATGGAGAATCCTCTGACAAATGGAGTCCAGTAAATTGACACAGAGTTTGTTTCAGCACTAAGAAAGGCTTGCACTGATTGACCATGTTCTTAGTGCACTTGTAACCATAGCGAGGCGCACATGCCGTCTAGAGGTGACAGGTTCAATTCCTGGCAGAGTACCTTTAGCTTTTGATTTTTGTATGTTGTCTAGTGTGTTCTTCTATCTTTCTACTTCTTTCTGTGAGTGCCGATCAATAAATTTTCTGTTACTTTGTTAATATATGCACTGATTAATCAGGTTGCTTTACATATTTTCTTCCAACCTGGTACCAAAGTGGTAGTGTTTTCATTTCCTTCCTTAGACCCAGACACCAGGGAAGTGTATAAAAAAGGTAGTGGAGCTTCAACCCATGAAGAGGCACAGTGATGCTTAAAACATTGTCCAGACTTGAGGCAATTTGTAAAAAAAAAAGACTGGACAGCTAAGAGACATGCCAAAGTCGTGGACAATTGGAGATCTTGTTCGAACCCTGCAATTTTATTGGCATAAATGCATTAACCTTTAAAATTGATTTATGATATACAATGGTATTTTGATCAGAAAAATAAAGCTGTTTATTTTTTTTATCTTCATAAACTATTGGAAAACTACACATCTTGAAAAATATGCTTTAACTGAATTAAATGTTTTTATATACTTTTCTCTGTCCGTAGGAAATTCAAGGTAAATTTGAGCCAGTTTTTAAAATGAATCGGTTGGGTAATTCATCAGCACTGCCTCTTCCAGTCAAATTTAGACAAGTTTTGTACGACCCAAAGTTAGTGGAGAAAGAGTTAATGGGAGGAGACCCTGTGAGTGATCAGGATTCGGAATTATCTGAGGCAGAATCAATGTTATTAGCGGACTCAGGTGGAAAGCTTTTCTTTAAGGTATTTCTACAGTTTAGAAGTTTCCACAAATTCTTGTTATAGTTAATACCTTTGATGTTATGTTAATAATTTGTCTAGTAGTTTCCTTATCAAAACATTCTTTGAAGCAGAAATGTTTATCTGTTTTCATTGAAAATATCCCCATGTGGATTCCGGGGTCCTATTTTCGAAAAAAAAAAAAAAGAGTAGACTCGCTGTTTTCCTGACAAGCATGTCAATACACGTCAACTTATTAGGAATGTTTCCTTCAACAAGTAGAACTTTCTGCCGGAATTTACAGTTGGTGAACATGAAGAAGAAGAAGTGGAAGAAGAAGAGGAAAAAGAATCTATGTTTCCATTAGTCAGAGACCACTATTTTAACTGTCCAATCACTTGCAGTACTAGAATTGTATTTGTGATTTTTGTTTCCAGGATCCTTTGCAGTATCCAGAATACATTCAACAAGAAGAGGAACAATCAGAACAGGAAGTAAGAATGATCTTCTTAAAAAGGGAATTGATGTTTATACCAGTTTCATATATATATATATATATATATATATATATATATATATATATATATATATATATATATATATATATATATATATATATATATATATATATATATATATATATATATATATATAGTGTGAATATTTTATGGAAAATATAAGAAACCCATCAAAAAAAGTAATTTTTAAACAGATGAATTTATTTTAATATAACAGTATCTATTTATTTTTAAATGTATTGTTTTAAATTCTTGAGATTTCAATTCAAATTACATAAAGACATAAAAATATTGTATGTAATTTATACAGGCTTCATCTGCTGTTAAACTAGGAAGGAACATGAGAGCAGGAGGGAGTTTAGTAAAGAAAGGGCGTAAGGTTAGTCTCACTGAAATGTATGTTATGTTACATTTTAAATGGTACAGGGGGATGCAACCACAGGTACTGTTGGTGCACCAGAACCAGGGCTCAAACTGGTCAAGAGTTATCTTCCCATGATCATTCCAGAAACAGGTTCTCTTTGGAAAAGGAGGTGGGGGGGGGGGGGGGATGAAGGGGTCATGTCTATTGTTCATAGAATTGATGTTTTCTTCAAATTCGGAGAACATATGCCTGCGAGGCCAGGAACCAACAGTGCGCCAACCTGTAAGCCAGATCTAAAAATGGATACTCAATGTGGATCTCATGGCTCCATTTTGGAGGACAAAGAATAGACTCACTGCCCCCCCCCCCCCCACACCCCCCCCCCCTTCCCGACCCCATCCCTTAACAAGCATGTTGTAGGAAGTAACTAAATAAGGGTGTTCTCTTTAAAGTCAGAGTGCATCTGCCTGAGAAGTAAGGGACCAAAAGTCTGCATGCAGATAAGCCCGGTCTGTAAAATGGATGTGCACACAAAATTGAAGTTCTGGATCAAGTCAGTGAGTGGAAAAACAACCAGACTTTCTACCTGAGTTTACAGCCGGTGAACACTAAAAAGATCAAGAAGTAAATAGATTTGCATGCAACAGACAAATCCTGGAACAAGACTGAAGTTCATACTTGAACAAACAACCAGAACTTTCCACCGGAGATAATATTGTCAAAATCAGTACAAAGTGAGCTGCTACTAGATCACCTGCAGCTGACTAAACACCACCAGTCTGTCAGGATAGAGAAACTGCATTCACAAACCTTGAGATATAGATGCTTTTCATGTATTTTTCATAACTCTCTTTTTTTTTAAAGCATCTAGAAACCATGAGTTGTTAATCCTTTGGCTCGGTACTATGGATATTGCAACCCTTCTGCCTTGATTCCATAAGAGATACCGTAAATCTGGGAGAAATGTGGCTTTTCTGCCTACCCCCGGGTGTGAACCCGGACCACCCGGTCACCGCGCAGTCCGGTTTAGCCAAGTGTGCTAGCTAGCCAGGCATCATAATTCTATTGTACGCTGTTTTATTATCAGTATGTTCAGTTGAAAATCTTTTTCTTTTAACGCAGGACATCTTTAAGCTAATGGAAGAAGGACACAGATTAATGAACCTGCTAAAAGAGCAACAGATCCAACAGGGCAAGAAAGCAGCTTCGGAACAGATGGCAGGATTGCTAGTAAACAATCTCTTAATCAACGGGTTTCACATTGTTCCTCCAGAGTCAACACCTCGACCTGTGGATGATTCTTGGACTTTGCCAGATTCTGAAGCTGATCAAGAAAATGTTGTGAATGTTTTCATGGGAGATCAATTAATTGTAGATATGCACAGAGAATTGAAAAGGTTACAGATAAACTAAAAACCAGCAGTTTAAATCTTTATATCCAACAAGATATAAGATTATTAATTGAACATACATGTATTTTAGACAGCTAAGAACAATGAATGAGTGACACTCCAGTCAATAGTGAAACTTTAGAAATACTGTAATAAGTGTAACACATACATTTTATAAGAATCAGCAAAGAACTTCAAGAACCCAGAGTGATATGAAGGACCAAAACTTCAAACTCGATCTGACTGAACGTGTATGAATGTTCCAAAGTCGGCCTAGATCATCCTTATGATGATTGTGGACATTTAATAGTGAAGCCTGGCAAAAAACCCATGAATTCCCACACTTATCTGAATCCCTGGTTTCTTGAACTGGCTGGATGTTCAGTCACTCTGTTGTTACGTTCAAGACAGTCCCACACTAGACACTCGAACACTGGAGATACACCCAAGCTCCTGGAGAGGATCTCAGGTACCAAGTCAAACACTTGAGGCACAAACAAACTGCCGGATAAATGATGATGGAGGTACAACACCCATAATGTTGTCTGTAGACCAACTGGAGGATTTAATTAATTGATGACCACCACTGGCTTAAATGGCAGAAGGTTTCTCAGTAGGAGCTCAAGGAGGGATGATAAATGACCCTTATAAAACAGTTACTGCATTACTTTCATAAAGATTAAATATACAGTGGAATGACCAGATGTTTTAGTATGCTGAAGCCAGAAGTAGAAATCACATTAAGCAATGGTAGGTAGGGATGCATGAAAAAGTTATCACACACTGAGCATTACTTGGGACTTGGAGAGTTCACAATTTTGAATGAGCAGGCTCCTTTGGTAATCTGATAGGAGAGCAGTGTTGAAAACTGGATATCAATCAAATGCAAAGTTTTACCTGCTATAAATATGAATATCTTGGACAAGAGGAGACATACTGACATCTTGAAAGATCTGAACATCAAGGAAAATTGACTAATAAACAACATCCTGTCTCAGAAGCTGGAATATTTTGGTCATATAAAGCACCACGACGGATTGGAAAAAATAATAGAAGGCATGGTACCAGGAAGGAGGGGCAGGGGCCGACCGACACGAAGATATAAGTGACTCCTTGAGTATGAAAGTACATGAGGCGGGAGAGCTGGCGAGAGACTGAGTTTCTTTCAGACAGACCGTGATGAGAGCGACGTTCTGCAAAGGACCTGCTACATGATGATGATAAATGTGAATACCATATCTTAACAAAGTAAAAAAAATTTTGAATCTCATGGAAAATACTGTTGTTATGGTTTGAAGTGTTGGGCTTTCACATATTTCACAGGTGCCATATCCTATACCGGCATATTTTCTTCATCTCTTGATTCACTGGAATTTGTTTTGTTCTCGCCCCAAGCTCAATATTAGTGATTCTGTTATACCATTTAACTCCTTCTATTCTTTGCAGGCACCAGTTAATGAATGTTTATGGTTGAGGGCCTATAAAAAGATAATACAGTTGAGTAGAATGATTATTTGTAATATGTATTCATTACTATTTTCTTGCACATAATGTTTGACTCTCAGGCAGTTTAAATCAAATCTGTTTTCATGTAACTGGATGTTTAGATAGTTGCACTGTTTTTGCTTGTGATCCTGGGTTCCTTTTAACTGAGGTGTTGCTGTGTGTGTTCCTGATATTTGCATTACAAAATATAAAAAAGCATAAACAGTATTTTGTGTGTGTTTTTTCCTCTTCATTTTGAAGATTTTGCATTGAGTTCAGAATGCTTCTATAGAAATCAATTTACAATAAGTAAAGTTTCCACATCTTGAGGTGTATTTTGTATATGGTGCTATATTTTAATAAACTGAAAACTGTTATCTGATGATTGCAAAAAATTCTTAGTCGCCTTGTGTAGCCTCAGGTCTCTATGAAAGCTGTGCTGCGATGAATGTTCCCCCACTGATCCACACAGCTTGATTTGCCCCAAAACACTAACTGGCCAGACCTGGAATCTGCAGACGTGTCACATATCGCCCCTGTCACGTGCCTGATTTAAGGATTTCTCCTTAAGAACCAACAGCACTCTGAAATAATTATGTTGAGTTGTTGGCTCGTATTGGTCTAAGGGATATCCGGTGGCCAATATACGCTCAACTTATTTCAGGAGTAGAGCAACTCAAGCTTTGGCACTACAAAATATATAATATTCCTAGGCACACTTGGCTGGACACCCCCACTACTATAAAAGGGTAGCCCTCAGGTTATGATAGTATACTATCTTAACCATGTTAACACAGATGAAGATTATTAATTGAACATACATGTATTTTAGACAGCTAAGAACAATGAATGATTGACACTCCAGTCAAAAGTGAAACTTTAGAAATACTGTAATAAGTGTAACACATACATTATATAAGAATCAGCAAAGAACTTCAAGAACCCAGAGTGATATGAAGGACCAAAACTTTAAACTCGATCTGACTGAATGTGTACGAATGTTCCAAAGTCTGCCTAGATCATCCTTATGATGATTATGGACATTTAATAGTGAAGCTCTGGCAATAAACCCATGATTGCCCACACTTATCTGAATCCCTGGTTTCTTGAACTGGCTGGATGTTCAGCTACTCTGTTGTTACGTTCAAGATAGTCCCACACTAGACACTCGAACACTGGAGATATACCCAAGCTCCTGGAGAGGATCTCAGGTACCAAGTCAAACACTTGAGGCATAAACAAACTGCCGGATAAATGATGATGGAGGTACAACACCCATAATGTTGTCTGTAGACCAACTGGAGGATTTCATTAATTGATGACCACAGTTAGGTTTACAATCTGATGCCCACCACTGGCTTAGACATAGGTGACTTCCTTGTAGGTGGTTTTGTGGACTGCTGATTCACTGCCTGGCCTCCAAGGAGATATCATCCAAAGCTTAGGAAATGTCCTGGACACCAAAGGCCGCCTCCTCAAAGCATAGATGTATGACGCACATTTGAGAACATCTGTTCTTCTAGGCAGTCAGGCAGAAAAAGCCCGCTTCAAACTACGTTTAGCGTCACTAGGAAAGAAGTCCCCTGTATTCATGCCTAAGGAGTAAACCGGCTTACAGGAATTTCTGAATTAAATACCAGAAATCTTCAACCTACAGTTGCAAGTTTGAAAATGAAGATTTATCAAAGCAACTAGAGGGTCTAGAAATGAATATATTACCAGATAAAGGTATATATCAATATAAGGGACTATATACCTTTCCGGACGGGTTTAAGTTTGAAATTTGACTGTCCGCGAGGGAAGTCAGAGTCACGACTCGTCCATCGTGTAGGGTTGGCTGCTCCCCTCACATGTTCAGTATTTTGTGGTGCCTATCCACATGGGCAAAGTTCTGAGTCCTCAGTCTTGAATTTCTTGTACACATGGCTAGGAAAACATTTGTTTGAAAGGGAACTGCTTAACAAACACTGCACAGACTGTCCAAACAATGTAAATGTAAGTTCATAACAAATATTTAATGCAAAGATCAATATAACCTCTAATGGACGGATTACAAAATGATTGTTAAGTACCTAAGACTCACATTACATGAAATTTGCAATAACAATACAACAATAATAAATAAGTAGTTATACATAAAGCAAAAACAATACAACAATAATATATAAGTAGTTATACATAAGGCAATAAATACCTAGATGGCTTGCTTAGCCATATGGAATGCGGAGGGGCAGAACAAGAACACTGACCTGATGCAGGATTATGGTGATCACGTGGGATGGCAAAACATGACAACCTTTGCTTATTGGCATGGCACATGATGATGAATTAAGTGTCAACATCATTATCATCAAGTGTCTTGTTGCTTGGCGTGGATGACCGTGCTTCTCCATACTCTGCAATGTCCAACAGCATGTATCAGTTTGTGTGCTAACACCATGACAATGTTGTTGTTGGCACTTTTCGAGAAAATAGTGTTATTCTGTGAAACAGAGAAGCCTGGGAGAAGCCTATGGCGACGGCTAGTGGGACTAGCAAGACCTGCCAACATTAAGAATAGTCTTTCACAATTAGAGCTGGGGATTGGAGGACCAACTCTTGCCATCACTTGTAATTAGCGTGCTTCTTCGCAAACGCTCAGCTCTCAACCTTTCTGCAGTCAACTGTTCCTTTATTCCCAATCCCTTCCTGGGAGCCACCATGGTGTAGTCGCTAGATGCTTGCCTGCAGATCTGAAGGTTGTGGGTTTAGGTCCTGTTAGACCTAAACCTGCTATCCCTCTCCACTCAACACAGTCCATGAAATGAATGTCCATAAATAAACCAAGAAATGACATTACTGCACTTGGGACATTCACATACGTATACGTGCTCTGTACCCTTCCTCAGTAGCCAATGAAGAGTTCCTGTACTGATGATGTCAGTTGTAACCTAATTAAACGTTTGTCTTGTTTTCCCCAGCTGGTAGGAAAAACTCTCTGTACACTCCCTGCCTAATCATTATCTGCAGATTGCTCACTCCCTGTTGAATCATTATCTACAGATTGCTCACTCCCTGCTTAATCATTCTCTACAGATTGCTCACTCCCTGTTGAATCATTATCTACAGATTGCTCACTCCCTGCTGAATCATTCTCTACAGATTGCTCACTCCCTGTTGAATCATTATCTACAGATTGCTCACTCCCTGCTGAATCATTATCTACAGATTGCTCACTCCATGCTGAATCATTCTCTACAGATTGCTCACTCCCTGTTGAATCATTATCTACATATTGCTCACTCCCTGCTGAATCATTCTCTACAGATTGCTCACTCCCTGTTGAATCATTATCTACAGATTGCTCACTCCCTGTTGAATCATTCTCTACAGATTGCTCACTCCCTGTTGAATCATTATCTACAGATTGCTCACTCCCTGCTGAATCATTCTCTACAGATTACTCATTCCCTGCTGAATCATTCTCTACAGATTGCTCACTCCCTGCTTAATCATTCTCTACAGATTGCTCACTCCCTGCTGAATCATTCTCTACAGATTGCTCACTCCCTGCTTAATCATTCTCTACAGATTGCTCACTCCCTGCTGAATCATTCTCTACAGATATGAATGTTCTGCCTGTTCTGTGGCACTGTCGACTTGATCCCAGAGAACCTTCCCCATGTCAGCTTTATCACAAAGTAGCTCAACACCCAGAGGGGTGGCAGCAGCTAACTATGACAAAGTGCTGTAAAAAAAATATCTCCTTGACTTTTTCTATCTCTCTTCCTCTATCTTTATATGAATTTAACATGCTTTATACATAAAATACAATAACTGTATGAAAGATGAGTAGTTGCTCAGGCTGAATGTGAGATAAGTTTGCAAGCCAAATTTGTGATCCTCTGAAAAAAAAAGAAGTGTTTTTTTGGTTAATATTATTTTCATAAATCTTTTCTTAGCTGGGCACAGACCAAATAACATTTACACAGAAAAATAGTGGAATGCTATACACAGTGATAAACTGTAATAAACCAGTTTTGATTACAACTTTGATAACTATTCCACAACTTTTTACATACAAATAAAAATGAAGATGAGAACAAACTGTCCATCTTGCTCAAATGTTCCTAAGGCAATTGTACACTTGGGATGTACTGCAACTGCAAAAGTCAGAGGTGATCTCTTGCCTGTGGGATGAGGTAACAAGTAAAACAGAAAATATTGAAAAACCGAACCTGGAGAGAATGATGCAGCGGGAAGTGCCTGCAAATTCTGGGTGCTTTACAGACTTGGGGCAAGGACAATGTGAACAGTTAACCAGACGACAGCGGGTCTATCAGTAAGGAGACTTATCACTGTCTATTGATGAGGGAGACAGAGCTAAAAATGGGCTTGCCCTGAATGCTGTGATGTAGGCACTTGATTCCTCTCAGCAAGGTCAAGAATTGTTACATTTTTGTTTATTCTTCTAATTGCTTTTGTATTCATGTATTTTAGTATTAGGCTGGTTTAAATTATTTTATACAACCCCATCAATTTATTCTTCTTCTTCTTCTGCGTTCGACATCAGTCATGCTAAACACGGAGTCCCGTCTGGGTCACAAATAGGATTATTCGTTTAAGGTCGCCACCGATCCCCCATAGCTTCTCTTGCAATGTGGCTCCCTTGGGCCAGATCCACAGTCTTTGCTGGGAGAGGTTAGGGCAGTACTGCAGTATGTGCTCAGGGGTCTGTCTTTCTGCTCCACAATCACAGGCAGCAGATTCTTTTATGCCTATCCTGTACAGGTGTGCTTGAAGACCACAGTGTCCTGTCCGAAATCTAAAAATTGATGTTTGTTCTTTCCCATTGAGTTTGTTTATGCTGTCACTCTCTGGTCTGTAATCTCCATTCTGCCTTCTCCACTCCCGCTTGAAAGACTGCTTAAGCGCTGTTTTGGTTTCCTTGTAGCTGTGTGGTGGATGAGGTTGTGGAAGATTACTCCCAGCTTTTTCCAACTCATCTGCTCTCTCATTTCCTTAACCCTATCAATGTTTAATAAGCCAATAGCCATTGGATTTTTTTATGGTAATGTATTAAGTATTCTCTCTTCATTTCTTATGGAAACATTTGTTTAGAATACACCCTGTCTGGTAAAAGTTCAAGGTTCTGGAATGGATTAAGGACCTATATCAAGGTATGTCATGTGTCACAGCTAGTCAAGTCAGAAACAGACTATAGTTAGTCAAGATTTGTTTAGCTTAAATACAAGATTAGTTTAGCTGAATTTAGGTGTTAGTGGAGTTTTGGGTATAGTCTGTTTCTGCTAAATTAATCTTGTGTTCGAACTTAACAAATCTTGACTAGCTATAGTGTGTTTCTGACTTGACTGTGGCATATGACAAGGTACTACTGTATGTCCTATAGCAGAACATATAAAGCTTCTCTATCACATCTCACACAATCTTCACACAGACATCTCATACCTACATAAGCTATCAATGTCTCAGCATGTTTAACACACATAATAAACACAAGAACCAACACAGGTGGCCTGCATGAAGGCTTCTTGGGGCATCACTGAGAAACGGGTAAAAGAAATCGTAGGGCAGTCGTGCCGCTGTTGTTGGATATACTCCCTCTACAGCCACTGGGAGCTGGGAGACATCAATGAAAGTCACTGAGCTGCTAATTTCTACTTTCTGAGACATACTTGATCCTGGCTGGCAGAAGGAGCCTGAGCACTGGTGACAAAATAACAAAGGAATTGTTAAACACCAAACTGTTTTAGTAACAGTTTCACAGCATATTTCGAATACAATTTCAAAGTATATTTCAGTAACAGATCTGTTTCAGTTTACAGATCTGTAAAACAGGTACACATGCAAGATTCAGGCCCTGGAACAAAGCCAAAGTCTAGATATGGACGAACAACCTGGACTTTCCCACTGGAGTTTACAACCCGTGAACACAGACAACAAACAACAGATCATTATCTTTTATTCGAGATAACATTCACATTGTGATTTTAGTGTGAACAACAGGTCTGGGTAATACTGCATAGTCTCTGTGTTACCGTGATTTGTGGTCTTCATGTTCCATGGTTAGGATGATTAGTGATCAAGGGAAGCTGTTACAGGTGAAAACTGCACTTTAGGGAACCTGGCGACACCTTGTATCCCAGTGCGCCTTGACTGTCTTTAGGACACGAAGACAGAGATTGGCATCTAACAAAATACTGGGCTTAGAAGGGTGATCATCCAGACCAGACCAGGCAACACTGGAGGCAACCAGAAGTCCCAGGTGTGAGTGGCGATTCTTAAACCCTCATAGGATGGTTGTGGCGGGGTCAGAGAGTACAGACTCCATCCAGTGTCTGATCTCCTTCAATCTTATTAAATAAATGGGTGGAAGTGGAAGGGCAACATTTTAGTCAGTGTCAGGGAAACTAGCTGTTTACCTGTCATAGGAGTAAAAGAGTCGAGCCCATGTGTGTGCTGTTTATCCCTATTTGTTTAGTTCTGAGATTATTTTTAGGAATCCAAAGGGCCTTGACATGCATGACGCTTGAGATCGAAATAGTTTAATAATGTCAACAACAAAAAATTATAGTATTCCTAGAGATTTAGAGAATCTCATGGCTCAACTCGTTATCATCTTCATAATCCCATCTCAACTTAATGATAGAATAATCAAATCAAAATAAAAAATGATGAAATATAAACATCAAGTAAAAGTGTCGACACTGCTCACCTTATATCTGACCACCTGCGGTTCATCATAAACATATGCCACACCAATAATTTTGGCTTGAGGATTAGGAAGGGAGCCCACATTGGCATACAGGATTTGTAGGTTTGCACCAAGAGATAAATCACACTGAGCACCCACAGTCTGTGAAATAAAAACAAACATTAAATTTTGAGAAATTGCATTACCACCCTTAGGGCCTCTGATGCTTAACCTGCCTGGACTCAAAGACTTAAACGTGTGACTGTTGTTGAGACATAATACAACTGACTAATAGGACTGACTTCACTGTACTAGGTTTATCCCATATGGCTCTGTCTCTTTCTGGAGAACAACCAGCTACTTTTTGATAGCACTGCACAAAGCAGGAATACTGTAGCTCATGCGACAATCCCCAGTGAAAATAAAAATAAAAAATAAAAATGTCATTCCTGAACCAAATGATGCAGCCATGAAATGAACACCCGATCTTCAAAACATGAGGCAAATAGCTTGACCTGCACCAGAGAAACTCTCTGAGACAAAATATGATTTGCTCTGTCTGTGTCAAGTTATGGAAGCTCCAAGACTACATTTTCTAACATGCACTAACCACTATGGGAAGCCGCCAGATGCTCACCTGTGTATCCAAAGGTCATGGGTTTAAGTCAGAATAGATTTTAACAAAAATGATGGGTTCCTGTTCGATGGAGTTTAAAATGAGTACCAGGTAAAGTCTTGGGAAGTAAAGGTGGCCAAGATGAGGCTGACCACATCACCAGCAAAGTGCTAATTGGTCTATAAAATATTGGCCTAGCCCTATATGCTCAATAGGTCTGAAGGTGTGGAAGAGAATCATTTTCTCTTACTTAACTATAAAAGGGATAAATGCAGTCAAGCTAAAACCAAGAAATTAATCCATTGAACTGTCACTACGAAGCTTAACCAAGGAGGGGGGGGGGGGGGGGGGGGAGTAGAGGGAAAATGTAGACTCACAAGAAAAACTGGATGTTTTGGCTGCAGCCTAGGCTAATACTGTGGTTTATGTTGAGATTGGCTCCGGCCGGACTGTCCAATTTTCTTGTTGCTAATGTTGTTCCTTCTCCCCTTTGTTAAGACTGTTTGTCACAGTTCAGTAAATTCTCCTCTTCTTCTTTCTTCATCGGCTGCAAACTCTGTCGGAAGTCCTGGTTGTTCACCCATTTGGACTTTGGTTTTGTGCTAGGACCTGAGTTTTGCATGCACATCTGTTTTACTGGTTTATTTGTGTGCAGTTGGTCGTTTCTTGCAGCTCTGGCAGATGCACTCCAATTTGAATGAAGCTTCCAATTAATCGACTCCTAGGACATGCTTGCTAGAGAGGCAGTGGGTCTATTCGTGTTTGCCCTGTAACCCACATGGGTTGAATGTTGAATTATGAATCGACATCACAGCACTCGTGACACCCCCATAAGCGCTCTGTCCCCTTCTTCAGCAGCAAGTAAAGAGTTCCAATTCCGATGGCACCAGTAACTGATTGTAAATCCGTCTCGCCCTTCCCTTGAGTGTTTAACTTCGGCCAGATTCCCTGGTAACTCCTCACAGCGCCATTCTCCTCAGACCGTAAAGATCTTTTTGCGCTTCCGCACTATAAACTCACTCCCAGAGGGCCCTCACAACGTATAACTTGTTATACATCAATTCACCACCAAGTGGTACAGAACCGGTGAGTCTATCTGCCTGCTCATTTCCCAACACACCGGCATCAACTGGAGAGAATATCCAAAGGATACTGACTACCCAAGATCTCTAAATGATGCTTGCCACTCTGCACGGAGCATACCTGTCTCCACTTTTGCTCTGTGAGTCAGTAATAATCACAGCATGTGTGTACAGCTGATTCCCAAGCCAGCAGTAACTGCCTTCACCTCCATTCTCAAACTAGACATTGTGATATCATATGCAAGGCTTGATGCGCTAAGCGACGTCCATTCGCCATCTGCTATAAATCCCAATGCACTCTGTTTGCCCCTCAACACCAAGTCATCTGTAAGATAATCACATCACTTGGGCAGGAATTGTCATGAATCATTTGTTGAACTTCTGATTCTGCAGCGCTACACAGGTAGTTCAGTGAATTAATTACTAACCACTATGCCAGTTTGGCTCATGCATTTATTATTATTAACTCACTCACGGCCAAGCAACTCACTGTTTATTGGTAACTTAATAAATGATGTTTTTCTAAATCTCTATGTCCCATATAGTTCTTATATTAGTTTAGTCCAGCAGTTCGTAATCCGTGCTTTGCTGAGCACTAAGGGCCCCAGTGTACTTCTCAAGGCCTCCATGGATATGCCAGGAAAATAAATAAACACAGAATAGCACTAAATATTAAGAAATAAAAAGTAGCTGAGGGGCTCCACCAATGAAACTGGTTCCAAAAAGGGCTCCATGAGTCAAAATAGTTAGGAACTGCTGGTTTAGTCTATCCCAAATGTTTCAACTGTTTCAGTTTAATGAAACTGTTATGAGGTTCATCTGGGTAAAGATTTAACAGTGTTCAGGACAAGCCCACATAGGCTCCTCTCCCTCCTCACCTGCCAGCAAAGAGTTTTCATACTGATGGCCACCAGTGTTACCTGGTTAACTACTCATCTTGTTCTTATGGGTTTTCTGTATTCCATTTTACTTGCAACCTCGTCCCACAGGCGAGAGATCACCTCTACCTTGTGCAGTTGCAGGACACACCCAAGTGGGGCCAGTGCGGTCAATCTATCTGTCTGCTCATTTCCAAACACTCCTGAATGACCCAGGCAAAATATCCATGCATCAGTTTCAATTATTACAGGAATTTGTTTAGACTCTTCAATTTAAAAGTTTCAATAAAAATCAGCTTGAACAGAATGAGATAAGTAACAACAGGAGGCACAGTTACTGTTGTGAGCTGCGGCAATGTTTTTTTGCTTCTGCCAGACGGTTACCGGTGCATTTTTGCTCCATTTGTAGACTGAAAGGATAGTTTCATCTCCAAGCTTCTAAGCTGAGTGCATGGCGTGACGCTGTAAGCTGCGGATTTCATTTGGAATGTTTTCTGCTGTGACCAATGTGGTGGTGTGAATTGATTCTGTGATTAAAACTGATCACGTGTGCAAATGCTGATCTGTTGGTGACTTCTGCTACCATCCTTGATGAACTGCATTTCTAATGTTGGACTGTTTGTGTTAGCACTTCGGATGGCTACCGTATGCTTTTAATGCGTGTGTATGCTAGTGAATATGCTGAGACAGCAGTCTGTCAATCTTTCCACAAGGGACTGTGATGAACATTCAGTGTGTTTTTCGTTGGCACAGGAGCGGAGCAACTATGGGGTGACCTGTTTGCTATGAAGCTGAAACTAAGATTACCAGATTACCAGGCTAAAGCCTCAAGAATTAACCCTGTGTGAACTTACAAACCTGCGAAGGAGAAGAAGGCCTGTTCTTGAAAAGAACTTCAACCCAGTCTCCTGTACGCTGAACATCAGAGTCACCAAACATGGCCACATAGAGATTATTCTTGAGATAAACATTCAATGTGGCATCATATGCTGGTGCACTGTAGCCTTCGATTACACGAATAATAAGTTGCTGCAGCATCTTGCAAACTTCTGCTTCTGAAGTTTCATTTACTCTGAAAACGAAACAATTCATTTAAGTAATCAAACCGTCAAAGCAGTGTTTCCCTGTTGTAAATCTGAACTACAGTAACAATTCAATAAAATGAATTCTTCAAATGTCTTCCTATGGCAGAGTGTTAAGATTTCTTTTTGTCATTACCTCCTCCAGATATAGTAAACAGGAAGGAAGAAATTGTAGTGAGTCTGTGCTTGTCCTGGTAAAACAGGCAGTTGCATTTGAGAGCGGTTGAATGTGTACTTCAGTTGTAAAGGATTCACTTGTTTGTTTCCTTTTTTATAACTGTTACTACAGTGTGCACCTGACGAGATAGCAGCGAAATATGCCTAGTAATAAAACTGTGTCCAGCATCTTTATGCTATTCCTTGTTTAGTTGTAATTCCTGATTTATTTATTTTAATCCTTATATGATCTTATTGTAACAAGTAAATAACATTATTTTCTTCTTCTGTGTTGGTCCTTGAAAAAGTGGCTTTTTTCCTGAGTCTCAAGTGGTGCCCAGAGCCCACAGACACTCCTCACTGTATCATTCTTTTCAGGTAGGGGTTTTCAAGATTTGTCCATGTTACTTGTGACCTCCTCCCAAAGGGGAGAGATCACCTCTGCTTTGTGCAGTTGTAGTACACCCCCAGTTGGGGCCAATCCAGCCAGCCTATCTGTCTGCTCATTCCCCAACATACCTGCATGGCCCAGGTAAAACATTTATGTGACTCTCACCAGCTGCGACCCCTGGAAGAATATGAAAACATAAATTACTCTTTACAAATGACACTTACTGTATGAAGCAACCAGTGCGCATATCCTGACCAAATAGCACAGGTTCTCTCAACTGTCCTAGATCCATTAGGCAGTCCCCACTGACAGACCCCCGAATCAAAGCTAGCTGTTGACCTCTTGCTTGTTGTAGCAATATTCTCTCACTGAACAATTTTAGTTAAATAAAATGAACAACCTCTTTTCAGCACAAGAAATATTAAATGCAAAACAGGAAGGCAATCTATGACAAATACAGAGATGACATGCTAAACTGGAAACAAATGAAGTTCAAGCAATGGATACACATTAAAATTTTTTTAATTTTTTTTTTTTTAGTTCTAATTAAAACAGGTAAAACATAATCTTCATGCTGAACAATTCTGGTTTGTTTTTCCTTTAAATTCCTGCTGGGTGCTTACCTCCAGTTTTGTATATTGGTTTGCTTGGGAAAATACTCATTCTCCAAATTTTTTAAAATGTATTAGAACATTTCATCCAGTAGTTTTATATAGCTCTAAAACTTGGAGCACAACTGAAAGAGATGAAGCCTTATTACAGGTTTTAGAAAACGACGAATCTTTGGACCCATCAAAGATGCAAACAGTGGGTAATGGAGAGTGAGAAGCAACAATGAAATTCATAATCTGTTTAAATCACCATTGATAACTGGATTCATGAGAGCTAATAGACTGAAATGGTTAGGGCATATTGAGAGAATGTCAGATGACAGAGAAGTGAAAACTGTATATACACAGGAAATGAATGGTCGTAGACCACAAGGCAGACCAAGAGGACGATGGAGAGGTAATGTCCAGGCAGACCTACAAACACTTGGTGTCACCAACTGGAAAGAGAAGGCCAACCAGATAGATGAATGGAAGCGGGTGATGTCTGCAGCAATGAACCTCAAGGGTTCGGAATGCTGAAGAAGAAGAAGAAGACGAAGAAGAAAATTCGAACATTTTATCCACAAGAAAAATGAATATATCACCAACACCACAACAAACCTAACTCCAGCTGTGCTTACATATGTTCTTCAGCAGTGCAGGATATTCGTTGAAATATGTTTTCAAAACAATGGTAGTCATGTAGAGCATTTAATATAAATAAAAATGGCTTTCATTAAAAATGTTTATTTTTCCTACATATGGAATCTTATGGGACAATCACTAACCTTTGAAAATAGGACTCAGGAAAATGTTTGGCCTATACAAAGATGGTAACAGTGGTTTCTTCTGCTACATTCCCCCTTAAACAAGTTTTTTGAAAACTGTGGTTGTCGTTTACAGCTAGGGTCCCTGAACCACCAAACTGAGATAACACAGTGGTGAATATTCATATTTATGCAAATTTAATTTACTGGTCAGTTTCTTGTTGAATGGATAATGTTGCCTGCAATGGATCTCCAACATGCTCTGTCTCTTGTCTTGGTTATACAATGTCTCAGACTGCTGTCTGTCCATCTCTTGATCTCCAACATGCTCTGTCTCTTGTCTTGGTTATACAATGTCTCAGACTGTTGTCTGTCCATCTCTTAATGTTGTCCCCTCACTTGTATCGCTGTCTACCTCTTGCTCTCTTGCCCTCAACTTTTCTCCCCAGAATGGTTTTTAAATGAGTTTTATGTCTTTTAATATGATCAAAATAATTTAATTATTTTTTAATTTTTATTTCTTTCTATAATTCTCTTTTCATTCTTAGTCATTCTAGAACTTCTGTATTAGATTGTTTTATATGAGTGGACTATGTTAAGAGATGAACTGGGAAAATTCTAAGTACAGTGTAAAGATATTGGGAAGGAATGGACAGAAAGCTCCGAATAGGTAGAAAGCATTAGGAAATCACTGTTAACCTCCATAATCTGGATCCATACACCTGGGCATGCAGGAGTAAATGGTAATGAAATAGGTGGCGGGTAATGCACCAATGCAAACAGGAAGAAGCACGGACAGAGCTGATATCATCAACACTGGTAGGGTCTAGGTTGGGGGATAATGGCGAATCTCTGATGCTAACAAGACTACGTGACCGAGGAGTTAAGCTTGGTGAAGCACAACAGCCGTCTTCAAGGTAAAGACAGGAGATATCATAACCAACTCCTCATGGGAACAGTCTGTAGAGGTACCTTAGAGGGACTGCTGCACCTGAGGACTGAGCATGTGTGGGGATACTCAATGTGCAAAGACGTAGATTGTGAAAACATAATATAACATCGGGACAGAAAGTTTTAGAAATTAATTATTTGCTTGGGAAGGCTAACCTGGGCAACAAATGACTGCAGAAGGCTGCCGCATTTACGACTTCGGATGAAGAAGAAAAAAGAATTTTACATTTTCACAGGTACTAAACGATAACGATGATGATAATAATTATAATGATGATAATGAAAAGGATGATATTACACCACTAAATATATCACAATTAAAACAGGATACTCTGTTGTTGCTCCTTGTGAGGTCACATTCAGCACGCCCGCCATGATCGGCTGACCAACTTGATAGCCAGGATGTCCACTTCGCTGAATACGTTCACCAGTTGAAGAGACCTGAAGAAGATTGTCAAAATTACTGACTGATGTCATCAAAAGACACAAAACAAGATGTCACACATAGAAAGCAACTTTCTGTGGTTAATGGAAATTGCTGACTTGGAATGCAAGCAAATTCCTGTATTTTCTAAAGGAGGGAAGAGCTGGTAGGGAGTATCAGCTTGTCGCTCACCTGAAGATTGAAAGGTAGTAGGTTTAAATCCGATTGGAGCTGACTTTTTCACTTCAAAAATGATCATGACTTCCAAATTGACCCAGCTTTGAGTGGGTACCAGGTGAAGTCCTGGAAAGTAAAGGCAGCCGGCATACTATTGACCACATCATCCGCAGATTGCTGATTAGTCTATAAAATTTAGGTTTAGCACTATATGCCCAATTCACCAGAAGGTGTGGAAAAGAATCCTTTACTTTTCTTTATAAGGGAGGGAGGTAAAGATAAGCAGTATGTAGAGATGTGTGAAAAATATGTGACACAAATACACTTCAGCATTAAAAGATAAGTGATCAGAATTTATTTTATGTGTGAAAGATGTTTGTTAGAAATATACAGACCACATGTTAGAGACTAATGACAGATATATAGTTAGCTTATAAAAGATCAGTGACAGGAATAGATATGTGCTAAAGATGAGGGATGTGAATAGACATGTGTTAAAGTTGAGAGACAGGAATAGATATGTGTTAAAGTTGAGAGACATGAATAGATATGTGTTAAAGTTGAGAGACAGGAATAGATATGTGTTAAAGTTGAGAGACAGGAATAGATATGTGTTAAAGTTGAGAGACAGGAACAGACATGGTTAAAGTTGAGAGACAGGAATATATATGTGTTAAAGTTGAGAGACAGGAACAGACATGGATAAAGTTGAGAGACAGGAACAGACATGGTTAAAGTTGAGAGACAGGAATATATATGTGTTAAAGTTGAGAGACAAGAACAGACATGGATAAAGGTGAGAGACAGGAACAGACATGGTTAAAGTTGAGAGACAGGAACAGACATGGTTAAAGTTGAGAGACAGGAATATAAATGTGTTAAAGTTGAGAGACAGGAACAGACATGGATAAAGTTGAGAGACAGGAATAGATATGTGTTAAAGTTGAGAGACATGAATAGATATGTGTTAAAGTGGAGAGACAGGAATAGATATGTGTTAAAGTTGAGAGACAGGAATAGATATGTGTTAAAGATGAGAGACAGGAACAGATATGTGTTAAAGTTGAGAGACAGTAATAGATATGTGTTAAAGTTGAGAGACAGGAATAGATATGTGTTAAAGTTGAGAGACAGGAATAGATATGTGTTAAAGTTGAGAGACAGGAATAGACATGTGTTAAAGTTGAGTGACAGGAATAGATATGTGTTAAAGTTGAGAGACATGAATAGACATGTGTTAAAGTTGAGAGACAGGAATAGATATGTGTTAAAGTTGAGAGACATGAATAGACATGTGTTAAAGTTGAGAGACAGGAATAGATATGTGTTAAAGTTGAGAGACATGAATAGATATGTGTTAAAGTTGAGAGACAGGAATAGATATGTGTTAAAGTTGGAGAGACAGGAATAGATATGTGTTAAAGTTGAGAGACAGGAATAGATATGTGTTAAAGTTGAGTGACAGGAATAGGTATGTGTTAAAGTTGAGAGACAGGAATAGATATGTGTTAAAGTTGAGAGACAGGAACAGATATGTGTTAAAGTTGAGAGACAGGAATAGATATGTGTTAAAGATAAGAGACAGGAACAGATATGTGTTAAAGTTGAGAGACAGGAATAGATATGTGTTAAAGTTGAGAGACAGGAATAGATATGTGTTAAAGTTGAGAGACAGGAATAGATATGTGTTAAAGTTGAGAGACAGGAATAGATATGTGTTAAAGATGAGAGACAGGAACAAATATGTGTTAAAGATAAGAGACAGGAACAGATATGTGTTAAAGTTGAGAGACAGGAATAGGTATGTGTTAAAGTTGAGTGACAGGAATAGATATGTGTTAAAGATAAGAGACAGGAACAGATATGTGTTAAAGTTGAGAGACAGGAATAGATATGTGTTAAAGTTGAGAGACAGGAATAGATATGTGTTAAAGTTGAGAGACAGGAATAGATATGTGTTAAAGTTGAGAGACAGGAATAGATATGTGTTAAAGATGAGAGACAGGAACAAATATGTGTTAAAGATAAGAGACAGGAACAGATATGTGTTAAAGTTGAGAGACAGGAATAGGTATGTGTTAAAGTTGAGTGACAGGAATAGATATGTGTTAAAGTTGAGAGACAGGAACAGACATGGATAAAGGTGAGAGACAGGAACAGACATGGTTAAAGTTGAGAGACAGGAACAGACATGGTTAAAGTTGAGAGACAGGAATATAAATGTGTTAAAGTTGAGAGACAGGAACAGACATGGATAAAGTTGAGAGACAGGAATAGATATGTGTTAAAGTTGAGAGACATGAATAGATATGTGTTAAAGTGGAGAGACAGGAATAGATATGTGTTAAAGTTGAGAGACAGGAATAGATATGTGTTAAAGATGAGAGACAGGAACAGATATGTGTTAAAGTTGAGAGACAGTAATAGATATGTGTTAAAGTTGAGAGACAGGAATAGATATGTGTTAAAGTTGAGAGACAGGAATAGATATGTGTTAAAGTTGAGAGACAGGAATAGACATGTGTTAAAGTTGAGTGACAGGAATAGATATGTGTTAAAGTTGAGAGACATGAATAGACATGTGTTAAAGTTGAGAGACAGGAATAGATATGTGTTAAAGTTGAGAGACACGAATAGACATGTGTTAAAGTTGAGAGACAGGAATAGATATGTGTTAAAGTTGAGAGACATGAATAGATATGTGTTAAAGTTGAGAGACAGGAATAGATATGTGTTAAAGTTGAGAGACAGGAATAGATATGTGTTAAAGTTGAGAGACAGGAATAGATATGTGTTAAAGTTGAGTGACAGGAATAGGTATGTGTTAAAGTTGAGAGACAGGAATAGATATGTGTTAAAGTTGAGAGACAGGAACAGATATGTGTTAAAGTTGAGAGACAGGAATAGATATGTGTTAAAGATAAGAGACAGGAACAGATATGTGTTAAAGTTGAGAGACAGGAATAGATATGTGTTAAAGTTGAGAGACAGGAATAGATATGTGTTAAAGTTGAGAGACAGGAATAGATATGTGTTAAAGTTGAGAGACAGGAATAGATATGTGTTAAAGATGAGAGACAGGAACAAATATGTGTTAAAGATAAGAGACAGGAACAGATATGTGTTAAAGTTGAGAGACAGGAATAGGTATGTGTTAAAGTTGAGTGACAGGAATAGATATGTGTTAAAGATAAGAGACAGGAACAGATATGTGTTAAAGTTGAGAGACAGGAATAGATATGTGTTAAAGTTGAGAGACAGGAATAGATATGTGTTAAAGTTGAGAGACAGGAATAGATATGTGTTAAAGTTGAGAGACAGGAATAGATATGTGTTAAAGATGAGAGACAGGAACAAATATGTGTTAAAGATAAGAGACAGGAACAGATATGTGTTAAAGTTGAGAGACAGGAATAGGTATGTGTTAAAGTTGAGTGACAGGAATAGATATGTGTTAAAGTTGAGAGACACGAATAGACATGTGTTAAAGTTGAGAGACAGGAATAGATATGTGTTAAAGTTGAGAGACATGAATAGATATGTGTTAAAGTTGAGAGACAGGAATAGATATGTGTTAAAGTTGAGAGACAGGAATAGACATGTGTTAAAGTTGAGTGACAGGAATAGGTATGTGTTAAAGTTGAGAGACAGGAATAGATATGTGTTAAAGTTGAGAGACAGGAATAGATATGTGTTAAAGTTGAGAGACAGGAATAGATATGTGTTAAAGTTGAGAGACAGGAAAGATATGTGTTAAAGATGAGAGATAGGAACAGATATGTGTTAAAGATGAGAGATAGGAACAGATATGTGTTAAAGATGAGAGATAGGAACAGATATGTGTTAAAGATTAGAGTCAGGAACCGATATTAAAGAAAAGAGACAGGTTCCTCCCACGCCTCCAATGAAGCCCCAGTCCTCTCATGAGGAAAATGATTCTATTAAAACACTCAGCTAATGCAGAGTCTTGTATTTCCCTAGTCTTTGTGCAGAAATCTCAGAAAGAGTAACAGACAGAAAGTGTATATTACTAACCGTTGTAAAAGTAGTTGAGAAGGTCTGTGCAATATTTGGGTAGCCGACATCACTAAAGATGAAGCTGACAAAGGCACTGTCGATACCCAAGGTACCATTTGTTACAAACCGGTAACGAACCTAGAAAACAAGTATAATCCAAAAAAGTGCTGTGAAAGTTTGCAATTATAATTGGCTGACTGATTAGTTAAATGTGATACAAGTGCAGAATGTAAAATAGCCGTAACTTTATGAGTTGGGGTGATCTGATTCTTTTACTTATGAACTTTTCATTCCCTAACTGAACGGTACTTTTCTTGATTTGTTGGTTTGTGATAATTCTGTGAATAAATTCTGATAAAAAAAACATTATGGTCATAGAAGTCCTGGCTTTTTTTTCAACAAAACTCTTGTCATATCATTCCAATGAAATGAAGTCACTGCAACATAAATGTCCATTTATGGCTGTTCATTATTTCAAGTAAAAGGAAGCTTCAAGTTAAAACCTTTAAAGTGTGATATAAATTATAATAAACATGCCATTATCCTGTAACCTGACAATATTGTTGTTAATAATGTCAAGAGTGTTAAGCACATGACAATTATTAAGGATGTCAAGAGTGTTAAGCAGATGACATCAAAATACAAACATGGCGACATCAAAATTACAGTTTATAGATGGCATTCCTACTTTTGACAAGCACTAAAGAGAAGCAACGTTCTGTTGCTGTAGTTTTTTTTCTTTTTTCAAATCAGCAAACAGGTGAAACCTATAGAAATGTATCGGTAAATGAAGATCCAGTATGGCAATGCATGCCTGTTAGCCCAGCAAGTGTATGATGTATGAGTGGAGTAGGAAATTAAAAAATGGTTGAAATCGACTCTCGGGTCACTACCTGGTGTGCCTGACCAGGTCGTGAACAGTCTGTCATTGAAGGCATGCCGTTTAAAAACTTCTTCCACTCATACACTCACTTTATCAGTCAGTGCATTACTACACAGTTTACATCAACATGTAATGATGGGTGCGCGCGCGGGCACGCACATGCACACAAACTGAGCTCCATCTAGTGAAATACACAAATCACACAGTCTTCTCTAGATATGCTGTTCATATCATTGCAGGAAGTTCAAGACGGTCACATGAGTACAACAGCAATTTCAAATTTACTATGTGTTCTTTCTGTTTACACAACGTGGAATTGTCACATTTTATTGTTACAACATTTGCCAATTTAAGCAACTACCTAAGCAACATTTGGGAGGAAGGCGAGCGGAAGACCAAGAAAGAAACTGATAAATGGTGTAGCTGAAATCTGCAAAAAAGATGAACAAATCAATCAATCTAGCCACCTGAGAAGCACAAAACAAATACAGACAACCATCACATTGAGCTACAGCCTGGTATCAGTGAGACGACAAAAGAAGAACAAGAAGAAGAAGATGTACAGAAGAAGGAGGCAGAATGAGTTCAAAGACACACATACATACCCCTAAAAGTGCATTCTGACATGTCTGAGTGGTGGCATTGTACACGGGTGGCATTGGCTCAGTGAAGGAACAGTTTCCAGTCACTCCATTCTTCATACACTGAAGAGGATTGTCTGGGTCCAAGCTTAAAGCCACTGTATAGCTGTTGTTATATAGGCTAGTTACTTCGGTTAGATCCACCGAGCCTTTTTTGGAAAGACAATGTCAAAATGAGTCTTAAAAGATGTTCAGGATTGCCATGAAGTAGGGTTAAAAATATAGTTACAAGGTTCAAGTAGCAGAATAGAGAGTAAGAAAAAGTTATTCAATATTCATATGCTCTTCTTTCTTTCTTTTGTCTTTCTCTTATGACCTAAAGCAGGAATATTCACCTGGTAGCCCACAAATCACTGCCAACTATATTGTATTAATGATCTTTCTATGTCGGGGTTCGAACCCCAGGCCCATGACAATCCCTATTTTCAACAATTTAGCCCCCGAGTAAACTTAGTTGAGTAGCTGTGACGTAAAGTCTCACACAGAGGAGTTAGATGTCATAATGCATTATGGCAGTGTCTCTTTTACTCCCCTTGCCCACCTCTTTCTTGGTCGGTCTCTTGCCTTATAGGACACAAGTTACTACTGTTCAAGTATTAAGGACACAAGTTTTAAACATTTTAAGGACCCAAGTGTTAAGACACAAATTGTTATGGACCTAAGTTGTAATTCTTCCAAGACCACATTTTTGGGGGCTGGGGTTTGGACAGCATTAATTTTGAGCTGAATTTATTTTACTGCAACATGACAAAGCTAAAACCTTCCTGAAGAAAAAGTACTGGCTGTATCAGGACATATAATATATCAAATTAAAGATAAATGAGTAAATCTAAACTATTTAAGTGTCAGTATTACAACAAAATATTATTAAAATCACACAATATTCAAGGATGTCAGATTAGACATATATGAAGATTATTTTCATAACAAATTTTGTGCTCATTTTACTTTTTTACTTGTTCAACAACACTGCTATCCAGTTCTAAGAATGCACATGCCTTCTCTGTTCAATTATGTATTAGCTAGTCTTTATTTGAAACAATAAATTTAAATACTTTGGATTTTATGATCATTTCTATATGACATGTCAGATTACACAACAACTGGAAATCGGGAAAACAGCTGATCAAAACAGATGATCTGATTGAAAAATCTGTTCAATTTTCATATCCTAAACTACATTATTGCCAATAGGTTTGTCACTTAAATATCAATCATAATATCAAGCCTGTTGTCACCATCTGGCAGAGATTCATCAACAACAGAGCAGTATGAACAGTTCTAGACCTTTTCCCTTATCGTTTGGTACTGCAAAAAGTAATGTAAAAATTGTATCACAACTAGATTATTTTTTTTTAAATCAGAAAGTGATGCAAAAGACACGTGCAACATACCAAACGAAAAGGACTTCCTTATGCTAATCCTAGTTTTTCAAAACATTTTCATAAAAGTTAGTTTTCTCCCACAAACGGAACAAAATTAAAGTGTCTCTATGAATCGCCAGTATGGCCAATAGTTTGATCGGGATCAATTCTAAAGCCAGTTAACTGGCGAATAGTCTTCAAAGAATTAAAGATAAGAACACAAATCTGGAAAAATTATTTTAAAATGTCTTTAAAATTCTTAAGACGTGTCTTAAAAATGTTAAAGACGTGTCTTTAAAATGTCATGGAAATGTGTCTTAAGAGATATTAAGAATTAAGTCTTTAAAACTTAAAGAACGTACATCTTAAAAGATTTTAAGGACATATGTTGTTTTTAAAGATGTTAAAGACATAAGTGTTAAACTATTATGGACATAATTTCTAAAAATGTAAAGGACAAGTTTTGCCTCTTAAAGTCCAACCATGAGAGGTAGTAAACAGGTCAAAGTAGGGGATAGCTAGGATTTGGCAAAGTAAGTTGTGACATCATGCCACAGGACCACAATGGTAGCCATAAAGGCCATTCTGGGTCACCCTAAAAGATCCTGGCCAACCTGGCTTTGGTGAAGCTGTGACAGTCCTGGCAAGTAGAAAATTGATTTTTTTATCTCTACAGATAATACAGTGAGACATAAACCTGGCATACACCAAAAGAAGAGAAAGACACAGAGCACAAGGTAGACCCAGAACAAGTTGGAAAGACAACAGAGAAAGTCTATAAAAGCATGATGATGTGTCTATGGCTGAGGTGACCTGAATAGTAGGAAGTAGTACCTTATATCTCCTTCGACATCCAAAGTGGTAAAAGAGAAAGTGAAGAACGGCAAGACTTGAAAAAACGTTACAAACACAAATCTGTAAAAGTCTGGAAAGGTGCTAAGACCAATCGGCAATCTGTGGATTATGAGGTTAATATCATATCATTTTGGCTGCTTTTGCTTCCCATAAAATTTGAGGTGAGTGAATCTGGGACCCTGGTTCCATTAAAAAATTTGCCTCGACAGGGTTTAGAACACATGATCACCAGGTGGACAGGCAAGCATGCCAGCTTCTGTGCCACAAAGCTCTCAATTATGTTGCATATAAATCATGAATTGACTGACATACCTAGGATTGGATGCTGGATTCTAGAAGATGAGTTAAATTCTTTCAGCAGGAAAGTGTCCTGAAAGGATATCAAGACAATAGTCATAAGTGATGTATCTGAAATGGCACGTCTCTAGCAGTAATAGATTTTTTTGGTTTAAAAATACAGGCATATCTGATGTGTTTGATATCAAATTTTTCTGGCATAGATTTCATGAAATGAAAATCAGCTAACATCAGCGAAGGTGACAACAAAGGAAAGTTACTAAATGAATTGCTCTTCACCGATGACTAGACAAACATAGCACCGACAGCAGTACAACTATAAAAACATATTAATAGACTCCACTCAGAATGCGACAACTATGATATGATGAAAATGTAAACAAAATATTCTCCAGAAATAGGAAGAACCACCAGTATCAAAACTGATGAACACTACTTAAAGCAGGTGAAGGGTTTTACATATATGGGGAACATTTTTTCAGAAGACAGAAGAACTAATAGAGAAATCCAACAAAGATGTAATAAAGCCAATCAAGTTTTAGGTCAAATGGCACCAATTCTGAAATACAAGCATATGAATATGAACACTGAAATAACACTGCTCAACACAGTATTTTTACCAACACTATGCTATCAGTGTAAAACAGGGACACTGATTTGTCTTCAGAAGACAGAAGGAAAATAATCACGACAGAAATAAAATGTTTATGTTCTATGCTAGGCACAATGAGGAAGATCAACCTAGGAACGATGATATCATGCGAAGAATCGACAAAGAACCAATAATGAACTTTATCAGTGGACAACAAATCAAATGGTTTGGTCATGTAACAAGATTGGCAGCAGACAGGGCCCCACAGAGAGCAATGTTATTCAGATAGAGTGGTAACAGAGCCAGAGATCGACCATACAGGATATCAGAGAAACTGAAAAGCACATTATACGAAGTCAACAGAAGGGCCCGTTCTAGAGATCTCTTCCTACCCTAACGCCACGATACATTCCAGGAGTAGAGAAAAGAAGATTTCAAGAAAATCGCCACATTTGATTATCTGAAATGGCGTAACACTAGCATACATTTTAAGAAAACAGTCATACTTGATGTATTTGAAATGACATGTCTCTAGCAAATATACCAAGAAAACAGTGACAACGTGATGTATTTGAAATGACACATTCTACAATACAAAAAAAAGTCACACTTAATGTATATGAAATGATATATCTCTAGCATACATATCAAGAAAAAATGTATACTTGATGTACATGAAATGACATATGTCTAACATATATATCAAGAAATACTGTCATGATATGTTTGAAATGAGTATCAATGGCCAAGAAATAAGGTTCACACCTGATGTATCTGAAATGACACATCTCTAGCATACAAATATGCTGTTAATTTGTCCAGTCTGTTGTGGTGCTTGATATGGCCAAAAATATGAGGTAAAAAATATGATATGTGTGACAGGAAAAGTCCTGTATGCATACTTGTGTGGGTGAAGGAATGACTGTATTACTGTATCAAGGGTGTCTCGTGATGCCATCCGTTTTTATGATATCTGAATAAAGTGTGGACTTTGACGGTGGAACTGTGTTCTGCGTTCTATGTTATTGTTGAGCGGGAGTTGTGACCGGTAAGATTGACATCATTGAGTGACCCACTAGACTTTTGGCAAGTGTGTGAGGCATCATGCTATCTAGTACTCCTTTAGCCAACTTTGCATGCCTCAATGAGTTATAATAACCTGTGCCAAGGACTGAAAGAGTTAAAAAGTAAAATTCTGTAATATTTATAATGCATTACTTACTCGGATAATTCTGAAATTCTCATAAAAGGTAGAAGCTCTGAGACCAGTGTTGTTGACACAATCCTCAGGAAGATTAGACAAAGTTCTTGCACAAGTATAAGACTTATCGATCAGATAGGCTGTGAATTTAAAATGACGTTAATCATATATAGGGTGTCCCAACAAAATTGCTGTGCAGAAAAGTTTTTAAATAATTGCTGTCATGAAAGTTGTGTATTTCATAATATGAATAAATGTTAAAAGATATAGGGTAATGGAAATTCAGAATATCATTGTTAGCTGAGCGGGTTCGCTGCCTGAGCTAGTGTATTTAGTGCTTGGTGCAGCCCTGTGAGCTGTGTTTTTCCTGTGGAATGCCTTTTATTTGTGCAGCGGGTTTGTCATGGTATTCAATATGTCCAGTAGCTGGTTTACGTGTGAGCTGGTGAAATACCTTAGGTAATAATTCTACGATTGTATAGTAACCACTTTATCATGCCTGACTACTTCCATCAACGACAAACTGTATTTCTGGTGGCAACTGTTGGCTTTGGCACCTCTAGCAACTGCCATATGCATTTATTGCATTTCTGGATTGTTCCAGGACTAATTGTTTGTTCACCAATTTTTCAAATGGGACAGTGATGGACATTTCATTTGATTTGCACTGGCACAGGAACGGAGCAAGTACGGGGAAACCCGATTGTGGTGAAGCCGAAACCCTGACTAAGACTAAGACATAACAAGAATAACAACTGAGGAGAGAGTGTTTTTGGTAAAGCATATGTTCCGTAATCGTGGCAAGTACTTAAAGGAGGTTGTTTCAACATCTTCTACCAAGATGGTTCTAATGTAAGGAATGCAACTTAACTAAATTCATGCTGGACTATAGCAGTATTGTGGAAATGAACTTCAAAGCCAATGCAACATATATCAGAAAGTCACCAATATTTAATCTGTGCACGGTGATTTTTTTAGGCACCCGATATTTGCGGACACATTTGCAAAGCATTTCTGAATACAATAAATCAGATCAAGTGTACAATAAGAGACAGATAAATGGTATAGCTGAAACCTGAAAAAAGATTAACAAATCCATCATCCAAGGCCCCCCACCCCCCCCCCCCCCTTACAAGAGAAGCACAAGACAAATACAGAAAAACCACGTCACTGGGCTACAACCTAGCATCAGTGAGATGAAAAAAGAAGAAAGAAGAAGAGGAGGGATACATTGAAGACAATGATTTATAAAAGTAAGGAAAAAAGAATCACCATGATAAATATCTTCTCCTTTTATTCATCTTATTTTTCACCTTCACCTGCTGTAAACTCTGGCGGAATGTTCTGTCTGATCATCAACTTCTGGACCAGTCTTATTCCAGAACATAAGTGTTGAGAGCACATCTTTTTACAGATCTGGCATATCTGTATGGGACCTCTGGTTCATTGCCTCTCAGGCAGATGCACTCTGAATTTAAAAGAAATCCCTAATTCGTCATCAGCATTATCCTTCGTGTGCTGTTAGCATTTGATTCCTTCACTCAACTCTATTGTATGTAACTCTCTTGATTTCTGACAGGGAGTACTGTCCAGCATTTTTAGCCTCTCGTAATAATGTTCTTCCTAACACTTCCCGTGGATGTACTCTTTTTTTTTCTCTAGACCTTTTGTTTCCCATTTTAGTGCTTGTTTTGTAATTCTTTGCCTATTTTTTTTTTCCAGAGTGTGCCTAAATTATCTTCACCTTCTTTGTCTTATTGCAGTGGATACAGTATTTGTCCAGACCTTTCTATGATCTCCTCACTAATTTAAAATTCATCCCATTTTATGTTTAAGATTTTTCTCAGATATTTATTTTCAAATGCATTTAACTTTCATTCCATATTTTCGGTAGTCCTCCAACATTCGCGGCATATGTCACAAATGAAATAACATTAGAATTGAAGATTCTAAGTTTGCTCTAGGAGGTCAATATTTTGTTAAGGCTTTTAAAAAACTTATGCTGCTTTGCCAATATGCATCATAATTTCCTTCACCGTATCTCCTTGAGAGTCAAAATTGCTACCCAAACAGGTAAAATGGTCCGTTACTGCTATTAGTTTGTTCTAGCATGACATCTACATGATCTGTTATTGGTAACTTTAATATATCTGTTTTCTCACAACTTATATGTCCTAATTTTGATGCTGTAGATGATATATTTTCAGTTTCCTCTATGCATGTCTTTGTTATTCTGACTTAACAGAACAATCTACAAAATCCAGATCTTGCAATTGTTTATCCTCTACCCAATCAATGCCAGTATTGCCTTTGTAACATTTTTTCACTACTCAACTCCCTAATTAGTCGATTCTTAAGACATGTTAGGGAGGCAGTGATCTATTCTTGTTTTCCCCCACACAAGAGCCCCAAAACCCACACAGGAATGTTAAACACCAAACATCTCTCACCAGCTGGATTGCTGTCTGTGCACAGAGGAGAGTTTGCAACGGCTGCAGGCAGAGCTAGCAAGCTGACTGCATTATCCGGAAACACCACATAGATGGGATCACCCCTCTGTGGACAACACAACAATTACACAAAAATAGAGCATCATGTATGGTCTCAACAAGAAAAGTACAGAACTAAAAAAAAAATGTAAAGAGGAAATATAAAGTAGTCAAAATGTAATTTTGGCCACACTAACCCTTTCAATATGTAAGAGTCTTTAAAAAACATGATCATTTTCCAAATTCCATTATAAAAATTTTTTTTTTTTAAAACTATCCTTTTAATTATCAGGAACTCTACCTTAGGAAACTAGAGGAAGAGAAGAAGGAGAAATTTAGAGTCACTAAGTTTTTATAAAAATCATCCAGGTGGTTCAAACCTATGACGACGAGCAGATAGGCAAGTCTAGCAGCTGCATCATTGTGGCACATAAGTAACTCGAAAAACAAAATTTCGCAACATTTTATTCTTTTTTTTTTTACTTTTTTTTACAAAAATATATGGTTCTGTCAACATAACCATGGCGGACTATGTCATCTCAAGTGTTTTTATGATGCAAGGATGATGGAATAATGACAAAAACTCTGCAGTTGCTACACAGGCACAATAACCACTGGACTAAGATAAAATGCCATCAAAAAACCTAGTAAGCCGCATTTACGGGGTGTGAGGGTTAAATTCTCAGGCAGCATTAGACTGTGTGTTAAAATGTTAAATTCTCAGGCAGCATTAGACACTGTGTTAACATGTTAAATTCTCAGGCAGCATTACTCTGTGATAACATGTTAATTAGGGTTAGGGAAACGTGTAGTGTATCATGTAGATGATAGTGTACCCTGTAGACAGTAAATTATTTAGACAGCATATCAATTATATAGTATCATTTTATAATTATTCATTTATTTAGTAAAAATTTTATGCAATGTATCATTTATACAGTGTAATTTTTTCTTAAGATAATGTATCATTATAACAGTCTATGTTTACTACTCCAAAAAGTCTGACAATTAAACACAGCATCATTCAGACAGGATATCATAAGACAATTAGACAGAATACACTCTTACAGCCGGTCAGTGTATCATTCTGACAGTCTGTCATTAAGACAACGTATTACTTAGGCTGTATCATTTAGACAGTGTATCATTCAAACATTATCATTAAGACAGTGTATCTCCCTATGTGGGTTCCAGGGCCCCAATGTGGGAGGAAAACAAGAATTGATTGACCTATTGACCTACTGCTTCCCTAACAAGCATGTCACTTAGATGACTAATTTTGATTTGCTGAAATCAGACGTGCCGTGCCGAAAGGCGCAGGCAGCGCAGCTTAGCCATACACCAGAATGCAAATAGTAGCCATATCTGATATTTATTTATATTATTAGTTCTGTCTCCGTTAAGTTTTCAGATAAAGAAAGTCCATCCTATGTTTCTCCTCAGTTAAAAATATCTTCCAGAACCTCTACCCCCCCCCCCCCCCCCCATTTCCCCGCTGAGTTAAGACTTTCAATGTATTGATTCGCTGTCTATTCTACTGCACAACCTATAAATACCATGAAGTTTTTCCTTATGTGTAAATAATAGTTCTAATATATCCTATCAACAGTTATAATATATCCTATCAACAGTTATAATATGTCCTATCAACAGTTATAATATATCCTATCAACAGTTATAATATGTCCTATCAACAGTTATAATATGTCCTATCAACAGTTATAATATGTCCTATCAACAGTTATAATATGTCCTATCAACAGTTATAATATGTCCTATCAACAGTTATAATATAACCTATCAACAGTTATAATATATCCTATCAACAGTTATAATATATCCTATCAACAGTTATAATATATCCTATCAACAGTTATAATATATCCTATCAACAGTTATAATATATCCTATCAACAGTTATAACATATCCTATCAGCAGTTATAACCTATCAACAGTTATAATATATCCTATCAACAGTTATAATATATCCTATCAACAGTTATAATATGTCCTATCAACAGTTATAATATATCCTTTCAACAGTTATAATATATCCTATCAACAGTTATAATATATCCTATCAACAGTTATAACATATCAAAGCAATGTTTCCTGGAATCAGATCACTTGTTGAAAAGATCACCTGTCGTCCATCACGCAATGTGTTTTGAGTTCTGGTCACAATGTAAACAAGGAGAATGCATTTCAAATTCTCTAAACCTCAACCAACAGAGGAATGCTGCAATACATGAAAGCCACGACAGTAAACTGGTTTAGTCTAAAATTATGTAGCCAAAAAGAAATGGTCATTCACCTGCATCTACTATGGTGAAACAGGCAGTTACTTTTGAATGAAGTCAATTTTGTGTTTCAGTTAGAAATAATTATTTATTTGCCTCATTTTAATCAAATGTTAATTAGTTCCCACCTGACAAAATGACCAGACAATTAACTGTGTCTTTTCTTTTTACAGCATGTGTTATGAATTATCAAGAGTTAAGAATCGACATAACAGCACTCTGGACATTCCCATAAGCACTCTGTCTCATCCTTCAGCAGCAATCGCAGAATAACATGTACAAAAAATTATAATATGTGTTATACTATGTCCTTATAATAGTTATAATATAAGTTAATAATGGCCATAATATGTTGTAATAATAGTTAAAATATGTGCAAAAACTATTAAAATTAACTGTTTAAAATAGTTTTATGTGTTAATACTAATTAAAATATGTGCAAAAATTAGTTAAAATAACTGTTAAAAATAGTTATATAATTATTAACAGTTGAATTATGTGCAAAAGTAATTATATATAAGAAAAAAATTACCTTGTAAAATGGGTTGAAGTTTCGTACACTGGTGGACGGCACCACAGACTGAAAAGAAAACTTTCTATATTTGGCTGCATAGCTCAAAAACTCTGCCTCTGTAGTTACCAGGGATGGGTTAATATAGTAGTTTCGTTTCTCATCTGTTCAGTCAAAATTGGAAAACTGATTTTAAATAATACACAAAACAATTTATGCAAGGAAACTGGCAAATCTTCTTCTTCTTCTTCACGTTTACTGGCAGTAAACTCCAGCGGAAAGTTCTAGTTGTTCATCCACTTATGGATTTTAGTATCATTCCAGGTCCTGAGTTTTGCATGCAAATCTGTTTTATAGATCTGGCTTATTTTTTTAGGCAGAGTGTTGGTTCCTCATCTTTCAGAGGCTCTCTGACTTCTAAGAAATATCTCTAAATAGCCAACTCTTGTAACATGATAGTCAGGAGACGTCAGTGGGCCTATTTTTATTGGTTCCACATAATGAGAGATGGTGAGTGAGACTATCAAGACTATGTCAGTAGGGATGAATATGCTAACACTGTTTCCTTCTTCTTCCACCTTGTACCTCAGCAAAGTGTCAGGGGAAGATGTAACATTCGTTGATGGGCTCTGTCAAGAGCACTATTAAGACCGATGTTCATTTCTGTAAGAATGTTCTTAATGCCATCACTCCATCTTTTCCAAGGTCTTCCACTCGCTCTATACCTGTTCTAATATTTTAGTCTGGCTCGCTGTGGCAGACAGTGCCAGGGCATTTTTGTTAGGTGTCCAAACCACTTCATTTATTGTTCTTTGATGACTTGTAAGAGTAGCTTTATTCCTAGCATTCGTCCGATTTTGTGATTTCATATTCTGTCTTTCCTTGAAACTCTTGCTGTTTAGGAAATACTGTTTCCTAAACAGAATAAATATTTTATTTGAAACATCAGTAATCAAAGGTTTAGTGAAACTTTACTATTGTAGTTAAATTTAAAGCTAATGTTGTGTTAAACTGAAATAGCCATTAATGTTTCGATTTTGCGAAGTAAAAAAAAAAAGCATCCACTATGAAACTAATGGTAAAACACATTGAGAACTGATTCATCTCTTTTTGCCCTGTATCCTTCAGTACAACATAGACCCTTAACCAATTCACACTAAGTCGTCCTATCCTTTGCTATTGCATGCAGCTCACTTCCCTCACCTCTTCCTTCTAACTTAATTATCTAGCTCTCTTCTTCTTCCCTACAACAGATTGCAACGAACCGCCATGCATGGAGAGTCATGACCTCTGCCCTATGTGCCGCACTCGACACAAGAGGAAAGACTAACTAACTAAACTAACTTCTTCATGTTTGTGTTTTTATTTTTTTATATGTTCCTGTAGGTTCCATTGCAAAGACATTCTATTTATTTTGTTCTCAGATTTTCTCAACATGTGTCCTATCCAATTTCAGCATCTCTTCTTCACCTCTTGATTCGCTGGAGCTTGTATAGTTCTCTCCCAAAGCTCTGCATTAGTGATTCTATCATACCATTTAATTCCTTCAATTCTGTGCAGGCACCAGTTAATGAATATTTGTAGTTTATTATTAAGTTTTATTGTATTCCCATTTTAATATCTTTCAGTTCCCCCCATCTGTGTCTATATTACTACCAAAACAGGTGTATGACTCCATATCTTGGAATGTGTTATTATTAAGAGAAATTACATTACTGTTTGCCTGGTTTATTCTCCTCATCTTTGTCTTTCTCTCATGGATTTTTAGACCTAGCTGTTGTGATCTCACCTCATTTATGTTTAATATATCTTGCATCTGGTTCCATGGGTAGGGTAGAAGTGAACTGATCACAACTGATCAGTCAATAACAACTTACACCCTCCCCCCACCAGAGAAAACAAACTATATTTACTAGGTCTACAGTTTAGACTGGCTATGGAAAGGGTTCTTCAGGTTTATTTGCTTACCATTATCAAAGTAAATGCAGAAGAGGTCTCCTGAATCTCCGGATCTGGCTGGTCCATTCTCAAGGAAGAACACATTTCTATCGAAGCAGAGTTTATCATCGAGGCTGCGAGCATAAACAAAGTGAAAACCAGTCCTCAAGCAAAAGGCCTTGCTAATTAACTTAAATTAACAGTAATTAGCAGTAAAGAAGTGGAAATTATCATCAAATTATGACAGTAAAGTTTACAGTAGTGGATAGTTCATTGGTTGCATAGTTTTGTTGTTTTGTTATTCCTCTCTACAAATGTAGAATGTAGGGTTAATATCTCACTAATGAGAATCAAACAGGTACAAATCACGGAAACCCCGTTCAATGATAAAGCCATACAGTACAGTTATACTGCGGCACCATATAATGTTTATGAGGTAACCTGTTGCTTTGGAAGACTTTGAGTTTTAACTCATTCAAAGTAATGAATGGTTTGTTGGTTGAGCATCTTTGGAAGACTGAGTTTTAACTCATTTAAAGTAATGAATGGTTTGTTGGTTGAGCATCTTTGGAAGACTGAGTTTTAACTCATTTAAAGTAATGAATGGTTTGTTGGTTGAGCATCTTTGGAAGACTTTGAGTTTTAACTCATTCAAAGTAATGAATGGTTTGTTGGTTGAACATCTTTGGAAGACTGAGTTTTAACTCATTTAAAGTAATGAATGGTTTGTTGGTTGAGCATCTTTGGAAGACTGAGTTTTAACTCATTTAAAGTAATGAATGGTTTGTTGGTTGAGCATCTTTGGAAGACTGAGTTTTAACTCTCAAAACTGATGTATTAGCATTAAAATCATTTAAGAGTAAAAAACCAACATCACAGCGCTCAGGGTATTCCCATAAATGCTTTGTTGGCATCTTCTGCTACCAGTGCAGAGTTCCAATACAAATGGTGCCAGCTGGTGTCTTGTCTGAGCATTGTGTGTCTAGCAGATCCTTTAGTCACTCCTATTTGCAAAAGTTTTTCTGGACTGTGAAAGAGTTTGTAACTATTGGAGCAAGCACTGTTCAGACTTTTTGTTTCCAAACTAGCTTAAAAGTACCATCTTTACAGGGAATGTGTTGCAGATCTCTCCTCTTCCTCTGCAATCTGAAAAAAAACAAGCTGCACAAAAGAATGTTCTGGAACTTCTCTTTCATCAAAAACCATATTAAAATGCAACAAGCTTATAATTCTACAAAGTACATATGGGATGGCTTTGAAGCAAGCTTTGTTCACAGACATTTCCCCCCAACCTGGTTTCAAAGTACCATCTTCACAAGGATTAAGTTGTTGATCTCTTTTTGTCCTCTACAATCTGAGAAAACAACAAACTATGCTAAACAAAGAACTGCTACTTCTCTTAATTCATGAGGCATATTGAGATGCAGCCATCTGAATATTCAACATAGTAAATACAGACTTGCTTGGATTAAGCTAAGCCTACTAAATGTTTCTTTTGTGGCTTTTTAGCAGAGGTCAGGACTCGAGTTGTGTGACCTGGACTTGAGTCCAACTTAAGTCAGGTGATTAATGACTTGTGACTCAACTTGGGGTTTTGTCCTGCGACTCGCGACTCGATTTGCAGCTTTGACGACTGGGTACTCGTTCTTTATAGCAAGCCACTGTGAGGCTTAGTGATCAAGTCACAGTTTAAAATGTTTTCATTTAAAACAGGACAGAATAAATGCTGTTTTAATTTATCAAGCTTTCACATTTGACTTCTTCCACTTTTATATACAGTTAGTGATTTTTCGCCCTGCTATTTCTGATTTTGATTTTAGCCAGTTTTTACTGACCCACAAGCACTGTCCCATGCAAGACTTGCAAATGACTTGAAACATAAAGTGACCTGACTCGGAACTCAACTTGGAAGCATTCTTGGTGACTTGAGACTTGACTTGGGATTTGTGAGGCAGGGAACGGCAAACAAATAAGCCAGTAAAATGGATGTACACGCAAAACTCAGGTCCAGGTAAAAGCCAAAAGTCCAAATGGATGAACTACCGGGATCTTCAGCTGGAATTCACAGCCGGTGAACGAAGAACAAGAGGAGGAGGTGGCAATGACCTGGGGCTCGACTTAGTCAAACCTTTTCTGTTTAGATATTTCACTGACAATTGATTTCAACATTATGGAGAGAAAATAAATATTTTTTTTAACCAACAAAGCTCATGTCTCACCTTCTATGCAGCTATTTTATTCTTTTAATATGCTGGTGAAGCTCACAGGCTCTCCATTTATCCTACCTTGTAATGAACAACACTGGGTAAGTTTACAAAGAAACTGTGCCTCACTTACACATAAGAGAAAGGCTGACAAGGAGTGAAGACAGCTCTATCCGCATCAGAACAGTCTGGATCACAGCAGCAGCCCACATCACAAGCATTGCCAGTCAAATCACACGGGCACTTGCTCACATCTTCACATGAAACACAACCAAAAAAAATAATATGGCTAACAGAAACACAGCCTTTAGGCTTGTATTTACCACTGTTGCAGTGTCGGCAAAAAAGGGGGTGGGGTAAGGGGGGGGGGAGGGGTCTTTAAACATGAGGATTTAGGGTTAAGTTGTGTTGAGTCAAGAAGTGACATCATAGCACTCATGGCATTCCCATGTGTACTCAGTCCTCATTTTCAGCAGCCAGCGCAGAGTACCAATACTGATGGTACCGGTCACAATCTGATTATATGTCTGTGAGGATTTCGGGCTGCATGACTAGTGCTGTCACCACCCACTGTACAGGTTAGGATTTTCTTCCCCCCCCCCCCCCCCCCCACCACCACCAAGAAAAAATCCCCAATCTTTCAGAGGATTCAAACCTGAGTCTTCCTACACTGCTAATGACACAATTAAAGTGAAGTTAGCTGTGTATTCTTTACAGGACGTCACTGAACCAACATTAGCATTTTTTGTTTTGGCTTTTTCTGATTTTATTAGGCAATTTCAAATTCAGTAGTTTGCCACTGTTTTGTCTAATGGTTGTCGCTCAATACCACTGTCGAAATCAATGCAAAGCGGTGTGCTGCCAAGTCACCTGCAGCTGGAATCTAACCAGATATCATGAAATTACAGTGTCTGCAACACTTGAGCCACAGATGCCAACAAAATTATAGTTCATCAATCAGCAGGTCTTTGTAGTCTTTGTAGAATGTTACTTTAGTCAGGGCACACTTAGAAATCTCTCTGTCTGCAGCCAGTTCTCCAGTCCTATGTGTTTCCGTAGTCAATTCTCCAGTTCTGTGTGTTTCCATAGCCAATTTTTCAGTCCTATGTGTTTCTGTAGCCTATTCTTCAGTCCTATGTGTTTCTGTAGCCAATTCTACAGTCCTATATGTTTCCGTAGCCAATTCTACAGTCCTATATGTTTCTGTAGCCAATTCTACAGTCCTATGTGTTTCCGTAGCCAATTCTCCAGTTCTATATGTTTCGGTAGCCTATTCTCATCCTATGTGCTTCCGTAGCCTATTCTCCAGTCCTATGTGTTTCCATAGCCAATTCTCCAGTCATATGTGTTTCCTTAGCTAATGCATCTTCAATAAAATAAAGTGTATATTATATTTTATAAAATTAAGAACATCTTGTGCAATAAATCTATGTCATTAAAGATTAGGAAAAGAATTCTCACCAGCTATATAGAGCCGTTTTAACATACGGCTATGAATCCTTGACAACTAATAAACAAGGCGAACAATATCCTGAGGCCTCAGAGATGTGGTTTTACAGAAGAATCCTTAGAATTCCTTGGACAGCTAAGACGAGTAACCCAAAATTTGGGAAGAGGCAGTTGCTCAAAGACAACATCACAAAAATTGAAAAGAAATAGTCATCTTTTTTTGGGTCACGTTATGAGAAAAGGGAAAATGGAATCTGTTGTAACCATTGGAAAGATTTGTGAAAAGAGAGACAGAGGAAGACAGCGCGAGAAGATTGTTGACAGCATTTTGTCATGGCATCGAGGGGTGTCAACACACAGATACACGCAGTTGAGGATCGCAGATTGTGGACTGCCATGATCGCCCTGGCCAGTTGGCAAGGCACTTGATGATGATGATGATGATGAACACACACCCATATATATAGTAGTCTGACTATGGAGGTGATGGCGATAACACAAGCAATGATGTGGCTAGAGACACAGCATTTTCCCCACACATGCTTTCTAAACAATTCCACGAACATGCTCAAGAAGATAGAGACAGGATGGATTCAAAGAAAATGGCTGGAGAAAAACTCATCTAAGAAGAAGGGTGTGCTGCCTGGGGCTGTCAGACATAAACATTTCATTAAAGTCACACAAAAACCTGGTTAATCAACATAGAATGGGCGTGATCAGACATTTTATGCTTGTGACACTATATAGTATTACAAGATCAGAGCACCTAAAGATCTGTGACCTGCCTCAAATGCTGTGGTAACAGTCTTCACGAAGAACAAGGATTTAACCAGGGCTTTTTATTTGCTGTACACAATGATATGCAGTACCAGGAACAATTTTAGTAATAATTTTTTTCAGCAACACACACTGTAATAGATACTTTGTGGTTGTTGCGTGCAGATCACGCACTAAAACACACCAATACTGACCAGGCAAATAAGACGTCATAAGGGTTACATATGGTTGTTAGGTGATGGAATCTAGGAGATTAGCAGTCAAGAAGTCAACAGAGTTGGACGTTTATGTCCTAGTGTGGCTCATCCTAAGGGAAGATTTACCCTGGGATCCCACAAAGAAATCAGCTTTTAAGCTGTGGACGTAACTGCCCTAACTGCATGATGCAGGATTATTAAATTCAGATGCTATTGCTCAGCGCACCGCTGGATAATTTCTGAAGTAACGACGTAGTTGTGTTTATAGTATGTGGATGCATACTGACTTGTTGGAGAAACCGTTAATGTTTCAAAGTTGAGCTGCTGACCTATAGTGACTGATGGCTAATGTTCTACGTGACTCCGGAGCTGAAAATTCATCTATGCGAGTGTGAGCGCTAGTGAGTTACGTTTATTGTTTGGTTGAGTTATTTTGCCACCCATCATGTATTTCACATATTTTCATTTAACTCTGTTAATTCGTGAATACACCAGTGTCGTACTGTTAACCCATAGCCTTCTCGATTAGATCAACACTGAGGTTCCTTGAAGTTGTTCATTGCATTATTGTTGTGTTGAGCACTTACCTATGGGCATCTGGTTTCAGGTTGGGCTGAAAAGAGTTTTTCCCTTCCCCCCCCCCCCCCCCCCCCCCCCCCCCACCCCCCAACTCCCAGCTTGGTTGTTGTATTGTTATATAGATATTCAAGTTGCTTTGACATGTTGCTTTTTGATAATGAGGTTAAACGCTTCATCATTTCGGTTGCACACACACACACACACTCGATCTACGTCCCAATGAGTGCCGACTATCCAGTCTTAGTCTTCATCTAGCCATCACATCATCGTCGGCATGCCACAGTGGTGAGCACTGTCAGCATTTTTATACACACTGCAGTAAGCACTGCCACCTTTTTTTTCTTTAAAAGAAAAATGCACTGAATATACCTTTTGTCTCTGCCCTGTACGGTGCTGCTGTATCTGTCACCAGTGACCAGGATCTGACAGATACTCTACACTCAGAATAAAGGCCAGATGGACATATAATCAAACTGGGGCTACTGGTACAATTAGAACTGGACCTCTTCCCTAGCTGCTGAAGATGGGATGTGTAGTATACAGCAATGTCTGGAGTGCTGTGATGACGGTGTTTGGTTTGCCCAACTCAGTCTGTGTCATCACTGTGATAACCAATAGTTAAAGATTCAAATAAAAGACACGCAAACAAGGCTTTTTTTTCAGCGGCTGGGAAGAACCAGAACTAGTATTTATCACAAAATGCCTTAAAAAGGTGCCAGTACTCACAACAAAGTGTCTATTACAAAGTTAGGGCTATCTTTCGAATAACGGTCCCATACGAACTACGCAGGCAGTTAACCCAAACAGAGCCTCACAACACAGACAGTTAACCCAAACAGAGCCTCACATATATGTAAAAGTCGCATTTCTTTTGCGGCGATTCAACCGTGTCAAAAGTAGTATTAACTGCGCACAACATTTTCACGGAACGCAACGGATTTTTTTAAGGCGATTAGATGGCGGCAAAACAAGGATTAACTGCATACGAAAAAAATTACCGACACGCGACAATACTACCGATAGCGCTATCCTACGGCAGGGCCTGAGTTTTATGTAAGTTGCCAATCGCTTTTCACCGACTATAGTGCCACCTCCGAGAGTATCCCCCGCGCCGCTACGCACAGCGCGGAGGGGGCTAAACTAGATGGCTGGGACTCACGCCCAGCAGCTACCGCAGCTCCTGCAGCTTCCTCCAAAGTATTTGCTCATGAGTCCCAGCCATCTAGTTTAGCCCCCTCCGCGTAGCGGTGCGAGGGATACTCTCAGATGTAGCAGGACAACACTCAATACATACTTTTTCCATCGGAACTGCCACCGTGGTCGCAGTCGCGACGGTCAAGGGGTGGTCAGAATAGTGTAGCGCCATAGCGGCTGGTGGTTTGAAGTTGTCCTGAGGCGACTGCTGGTTTGACGTTGGCTCGAGGCGACTGCTGGTTTGAAGTTGGCCCGAGGCCATATGCCCGTACATTACAACCCGCAGTATTGATTATGTCCCGCCCGGAACAAGACTTGCAGACAAGTCGTGTCCTGTTGACATTGCGGACAGCCAGAAACAACAGATATTCGGGCGCTATTTGCAATGTCTGTGCCACAATTTTCACGAATAGAGGATGTCAATATCAGTAAGTAGTAGAATTTCCCCGTTTTTCTGATACTTTTCGTTCCTAATATTTCCCGAGTTACAGCTTTCAAATCTTTGTAGTGTAATGAGGCTCTGTTTGGGTTAACCTTTTTGCGTAGTTCGTATGGGACCGTTGTTCGAAAGATAGCCAAAGTTAGTTATGTATCCTTTACAGGATAACAAAGAATAACCCCAATCATTTTGGGGCTGTTGTTTTTCTAATCAAAGTTTACATTTTGTAGTTTGCCACGGTCAGCTTTCGGTACCACTGTCAAAACCAACACAAGACGGTCTACTGCAAAATAGCCGGCAGCTGAGATCGAATCCAGCATTACAGTTACACTATGCGCGTTTGCAACAGCTAAGCCACAGACGCCGACAACAGCACTGCTTTTACAACAACACTGATAAAATTTGCCTAAAACGTGCTGGTACTGCGTACCGTTGAGTACCCCAGACTAAAATCCCTGCCTTCAACACTTTCAGTGAATGATTCTCACACTCACAGTCACACCTTACCAACGTTAGCAGGGATAGTAGTTCCGGGGACCGACGGTTTTATTGTTGTAGTTGTAGGTAAGGAGGTTGTTGGTACAGTGGTGGTCATCGTAGACGTTGTGGTGTTATCAATATCTGTAGTATTGTATTCAATGGTGGTCGTGTCATTTTGAGACCATGAGCTGCAGATCAAAATGCTCCCGATACAAACTATCAGACCTAGTTTAAACATGTTTACGCATTTGGCAGCCATGATGTAAACTATACCGGTGCTATGCACAAATCACCGTATATTTCCGAAATAGCAAAATCATGTTCGGGTGTGGAAACAGGTACAAACGTGTAAATATGATTGTAGTAGTGGCAGCAGTACTACTACTACTACTACTACTACTACTACTACTACTACTACTACTACTACTACTACTACTACTACTACTACTACTACTACTACTACTACTACTACTACTACTACTACTACTACTACTTCTACTACTACTACTACTAGTAGTAGTAGCAGCAGCAGCACAAGAATTTTTTTTTTTTTTGGGTGGGGGGTTATTTTAAAGCCAGACCCAGCTGTTGTCGGGGTCCTAAATATGAGTTATGAGTTAGATTATCCCCACAGCACTCCGGACACATCCATAGGCGCTCAGATTCCCCTCTCAACATATTCATCAGCGTCGTGCGGTTAATAGCACCAGTCCTATGTTAGTTAACAAGACTTCGTGTGCGTTCGGTGTGCTTCTCATGCTTGGCTGTGCCGATTTTTACTCCCAATTCGCGAATTCTTAGCAGTGTTCCTTCCAAAATCCTCAGAACTTCATATCTCTCTAAAGGCAATGAAAATGTCTGCGTGATCCATGGGCTGGCCATTTTCAATTAAAGCAGCACCTGCCAGTCTATCAGCTCTCTCATTACCTCAACAACGCCTGTCTACCCTAGGACGAATATGAAAGTAACAGCACACAGGGTAATTTTGTAACGACTCACGCCACTGTCTGCTTAACAAGACTGCCTCGACCCGCCGGATCATGCTCAAAGAATCACTCAGCACACACATGCGGGAATAGTCCTGTGATCCAGCCACATGAAAGCGTATGTCACCGTCATCACCTCCATCGTCATGCTGCTGGTGGTCATGGAGAAGGCACTCCTGGCTTCCTGAACTGTTCTGCATGAAGAGCGAGCTGTAAATGCCAATGCACTCTTATGTCATCGTATAACGGACCCGTATGTGAAGATCACCACATCTGTCTCATCTGACTTGTAACTGATAAGCGCGCATACCTCGGCACTGACCGCAGCTGGATTCTGCTTCCGACAATTCCTATCGAGCGTCACGACACACAGGAGAATGTGAGATTGGGCGCTTTAGACTCTGGTTTTTTTCTCTCTTTGATGGGGTTGAACGTCAGTCAGTCAGTCTAAACAAAAAAGAATCCACACTGAAAAGACAGAAGTAATATGAACAGAAATAAAGAAGTAGAACATAAATTTAGCAGTAGAATGCTATTCACCAAAAATGGTAAATTAGATGAAGAAATTAACATCCGATGCAATAAAGAAAACCAAGCACTGGGACAACGCTCACCCCCCCCCCCTCCACCATTTTTAACAACACAAAACAATCCCAATCAGCACACACAAAATCTAATAAAAAGCATATTCATTCCAACCATATATTACTAGTGCCAGATGTGGTCACTAACATCAAAGCAGAAAAAACAGTTAGTAGCCACATAAATAAAAAGGATGTTAAGGGCTGTATGAGTGACCAGAAGAGATAAAATAATGAATGAGGTCCTAAAAAAAAGGTAGGCACAGAACAAATTGTAAATTACATACAGCAAATCAAATGAATTGCCCATTTAGAGAGAATGCCTTGTGATGCCAAACCACACAAGCCAAACACACCAAAAAAAATGAGATAAGCAAAAAGCACGAGCTAGACCAAGAACAAGTGGAAAGATAGCATCAGAAAAACTCTACCTCAGCATGATGTGTCTATGGTCGAGGCAGTCAACAGAGCAAGAAGCAGAACCTTATATATTCCTCAGTGGTGTGTGATGTCGATCACATGTGTGAAAGTAAAGGCTGTTGTGATGTTTATAATCAGTTACCCCGTACCTCACCTCGGGTGCCAGCCGGATCTGAGATGGTTTTACGGATCCTCGTGCAAGACCCCTGCCGCACGTCCCCGTCGTGCACCATTGATAAGGGCTCACCTTTGTGACCTGAACCGAGGTGGCAGGGGATCTCGGAGTTAGTAGACTCCAAAGATGTAGTATCAAGTCTGATTCACATCAGTCCACCCCCCAGTGCATCGGTGAAAGCGTCTATCAAAGCTCATTTCAAACATGGGTAAAAGTCCGCTAGCCGAACATACGACTAAATAACACTCGGTTAAAACGTCTGTCGAGCGGGAAGAATTGTTGTACTGCTGAGATTCAACCCTATAACGAAAGATTTGCCCGTAGTCTAGACGAGCAACATCTCTTGCAGGCGATAGCTCGCGGAACAGTACGTATTACATCCCTTGGTGTTCCTCAACGTTGCAGATACTGTGTTGAGTGAGGTAAATCATGATAATCTGCCAACTTCAAAATACTGAATTGCCATAAATTTTCTTCTAATACATGTCCTATGGCGCAGAAAAAAGCCTGAATGTCCGACCCCCCCCCCCCCCCCCCCCCAATGTCCTACTAATTGGCAGAAAGGTTCGCATGCCTGTTACCATTAGCCCCAATCAACAGAGTTAGTAGTCTTTCTTCTTAAGCCTAGGGCTGCGCATAGGACACAGGTAAAAGCTCTCCATGTCTGGCGGTTTGTTACCACCTGTTTAAGGAATGTTCATTAGGCCTATGGCTGAGCCTTCCGTGATGATGGTTCTACGCACGGTCTCTCTTGGTCTTCCCCGTTTTCTTTTCCCTTTCGGTGTCCATATTTGAGTTTGATGGGGGAGTCCGGTCTATTCCATTCGGAGTGCATGGCCGATGTAGTTCTAACAGCGCCTTCTTAAAAAATTAAATACATTATTTTGCTTGGTCTCTTGTCTTATTTGCGTATTGGATCTGAAACTTGTCCAATGGAGATTTAGTATTTTTCTAAGACGTTTTATGTGATTGCTGAATGTCTGTTTGCTATGAATGAGAGTTTATTAAAGGCACTAGATGCCAGTGAGTATCTAGATGGTATCTCTGACGCTGAATCCCCTATAGATGTCATCTTATTTGCCAAAGTGTGGGAACTAAAAGAGGGAGCCATGCCTGATGCGTGCTTTTATCGTACCGTTTTGCTAAGTTTCCAGATGAAACAAAGTTAAACGTGTCAAAAGTGCCGAAGAAAAATGTACTTTTTTGTGTGACCATCGAAGTCCCGGACCTGCGGACTTCTCCCTGCTAATCTCCAGAGGTCGCAGCCTATGACGATTGGAAAGCTCAACATATAGATGTGAGATTAAGTAGTCATGTGTGCAGGATGTGACTATTCCTTGGGTAAGCCCAGGACCAGAGCGTCATGTGTCGGCTCTGCATTTATAGAAGCCTCCTTGAATGGCGGAGTGTTCTTAACCTTTATTTACAAAAACAACAAAGTCACGTCTTCTGAGCTAACTACATACACAGTAGGAGGCATCCAGTACTATGGTGTATGTACACAGATGTCAAGATAGATGGTTCGGTCTGGTAAGAGTCCTTTTAATGACTTCTCTTCATCGATAATACTACCAGATCGCTGATTTCTACAAATCAGTAGCACTACATTTAGCACTATTCGCAAGTTACGACAGCTACTGCAGTCACTATGACCAGACATATGAAATCCACAAGATGGTATAATTCACATAAAGAAGTTGACCAGTAGGTGGAGCAAAACAAGCAACAACTCCAATAATATTCTCTGAAGTGATGCTTGCCACTCTGCACGGAGCATGCCTGTCTCCATCTTTCTCAGCATGCTCTGTGAGTCAGTGAAAATCCTGGCATGTGTGTACAGCTGATTCTCAAGCCAGCGGAAGGCAGCAGTGACTGCCTCCACCTCCATTCTCAAACTAGACATCTTCTTCTTCTTCTTCGTTCACCCGCTGTGAATTCCGGCGGAAGGTCCCGGTTAATCGTCCGCTTTGACTTTTGGCTTTTACCTGGACCTGAGTTTTGCGTGTACAACCGTTTTGTTGTTCTCTGCCTCATGGGCAGCTGTACTCCGACTTAGAAGGAACAGACATGATATCATACGCCAGGCTTTCTTTCACTAAATGACATCCATTCACCTGTGCTATAAACCCTAGCGCACTTCGTCTGCCCCCTCAACACAGAGCCATCTGTACAGATAAATACATCACTTGGGCAGGAATTGTCAGGAATAATTTGTTGAACTTCTGATTCTGCAGGGCCAGCTGGCAAGTCCTTGCACTCACGACCCAAAGTTATAAGAGCCCTGCTCAAGTCTGAAACTTGCTCGGACACTTTGACCTACTCCTCACATCGCACAATTTTATCAAGCCTGCACACATGTCTGATTGTGTCTTCAGATTACAAGCAGCAACACAACAACAAACTTAATTCATGCTACTTAGAAATAAAACATTCACTTTTATTCTTTATTTCACATGTTACAATATAAGATGTCTTTAAAAAAAACAATTGTTACAAATTCATCAGTATAATGTGATCAACAATAAAGAAAGCAAACATCATCACATGAACATCATGGCTACTAATGGAGCAATTTATTTTGGTTCCCCAAATATTTATAATTTTTAAATAAATTAAAGATCCAAGTCAAAATATTTGGTTTTCTCTGTGCATGTAGTTTATGTGTAGTGAATTTATTTCTTAATTTTATGTGTCAGTCTTCTTCAGTGTTCACACCTAGGATTACAACTGTTTAATAACAGTCCTTTCTATTCTGGGTTCATGAAATTGTAAGAATATTTCTGTAACCCGTAACATATTTAATGTTCTTATTTAAAGTTGCACAATGGTCTCTGTTCAAATTTACAGTAGGAGTAAAAAAACTTCACAGTAAAATCAGATGATATTACATAAATATACAGTAACACACCAATATAACAGAATTTTAGCAGATTGAAGACTAGGTCTAAAAAAAAAAAAAGAAATCACAGAGAATAGAGAGCAGAGAGACATTAGATCATAAATTGATAATGTCTTTCCAACAGCTTAACCTTTCTCATTGTTTTTTAAAATATTGTTGCCTCTGTAGTATAAGGCACTAAAAATAAACACCCTTTCAGCAAAAATGTGATCAGCATTAGGTTAAGAAGGAAGATCACAGTATGGCAATTGCTGAATCACAGTGCACTCTTGTCATCTTTGCCGAGTTCCACGATGACTTTTCCAACATTCTTCCTCAAATACATGTACTGTATGAGAGATAAAAAAAAAAAAATTGAAGATTATTATACATAGACTGTAAGGTCAGAGTTCACACACTGTACTGCATGAACAAACGAATGAACACACTTTATTTTCAAAGGGTTACAAATTGGGCACTCAGGCCTTTCTTACATTTGGCCTATCCAAACACCCACCTTTTACACAGCAGTTGTATTATATTAATAAAGCATTTTATGTTCATGGAGAGAAAGAGATAGACAGGGAGACAGACAGGTAGACAGACAGACAGACAGACAGAGATATGTGAATTAGTGAAAGCATCTAAAACTTCAAGGTTGCACTTACCATGAGAGCAAGAAAAACATAAAATGTTACAAATAAAGAATTAGAAATTTTCAAATTAACACATTTATTTTATAACCAATGTCAGGAAAACTGCTCAAAGGGCATTCACATTGTCAGTTTGTTGATGGTATTAACCAGCCCATCTGCTTTTCCCTTCAAGTCCTGCTACAAGGATAAATCTCTAAGAAGATTGAATAATGCCTGCCTGTTCTTCTTCTTAGTATTCACTGGCTGTACACTCCAAAGAAAAGTTCTGGTTGTTCATCCACTTCTAGACTCTGATTTTGTTCCAGAACTTGGGGTTTGCATGCACATACATTTCAGAGATCTGTCTTATTTCTTCTTCTTTGCGTTCACTAGCTGCAAACTCTGGCGGAAAGTTCTGGCTGTTCGTCCACTTCAGGAGACTGTAGTCCTGCTCCAGAACCTGTGTGTCGCATGAGCATTCATTTTACAGATCTGACTTATTTGTATGCAGACTGTTGGTTCCTTGCCTCTCAGGCAGATGCACTCCGACTTGAAAGGAAGCTCCCAATTAGTTGACTCTTACGACATGCTTTTGGGCAGGCAGTGGGTATATTCATGTTTTCCCTATAAGGCATGGGAAACCACACGGGGATCTGTCTTATTAGTTTGCTGTTGGCTCCTCGCCTCTCGTGCAGACTGTTGGTTCCCCTCTCATGCAGACTATTGGTTCCTCGCCTCTTGTGCAGACTGTTGGTTCCTCGCCTCTCATGCAGAGGCACTTCAACTTCATAGGAAACACCTCTAATTAGCCGATTCTTACAACATGCTTGTTGGGAAGGGGGGGGGGGGGGGGGGGGGGGGGGGGGGGGCAATTGGGATATTCTTTTTCCCCAAACATAGGGCCTTAGAACCCACATGGAGAGAGCCTGCCAGTGAAACCAACCTCAACTTTAAAATATTAACTAACAAATGATCCCAATAGACAATCATTACTGCACACCTGACAGTTCAATGGGTACTCATACTTCTCCTTATAATAACAGGTGTGTGGGGATCCAATCACTTCAGTTTAGTATCGATTCATCAGACTCTTTTCAACCTTCAAAATCTGGCCTTTGCTTAAGCTTGGCGTTAAAGTTTTTCATCATCAGACAGGTCATTATCTTCCCTGTGTAGGTCAGGTCGGCAGGGTCACTAAGATATGTCATATTTCTGTTGACACATTATTGTAGTTACCAAACACACACATGAACACATTTATGTGTATAAATATAATACTAAAATACATTCTACATATTTGGATGCATTTATGTTACTAAAAAGCAACAGTAATATATAAACAAGCACAGATGTATGAGGGTAAGTCAATAAGTCAGTCACAAATGGTTGTTTAAAGAAAACTAAAGACAATAACAGCTTGAAAACCATTTATTTTTACATACACACTGTCCCTTTATTTTCAACATATTTTCACCAACATTTATTTTGTTTGTATTTGCGAATGCGCACGCAACACCTAGCTCCACCTAACGAGCGGAGACAAAGTTCGATGATGCTGTCACCTAATGACACATTTAGAAACCAACAACTACATTTCCCTGCCATCCCATAACCATTTGTGACTTACTTATTGACTTCCCCTTGTAATTATACATCCATACAAACATAACATTTTACCTCTACAGCATCTGCAACTTTGTCCAAACCAACAAATGGTCCATTCGGAGCGCCAACTCCCGAATCTGAAGATACCTTTAGTTTCCCCTCCTTGTACAATTTGGCCAAATTTGCAATATGGCGAGCGTAGTCTGGGCGATAGTGAGGCAGGAAAAATCCCCGCACACTGGCTGATTTCGTAAGGAGCTGTGCAGGAATTTAAAAAAAAAAATACATACAAAATAGAGCAAAGTCATTATTATCTTGATGTGCCATTTATACATCACATAGGGCTTGCAGAACTGGCTCAAAAACAACACCCTGTACTGAAAGCTGAGGTGTTTTGGCCATGTTAAATATCACGGTGGCTTGGAGAGAACAACGATGGAGGGGAGATTCTGAAAAACAAGACAGAAGCAGACCTCCATAAAAGTGGACACAAGACATATTGGCTATGAAAGTATGAACGGCTGGATAACTGGATAAAGAACTATCAGGCATGCCGTGATAAGAACGACGTCTGTACAGTAACTTCTGATTGCTGATGAGTGCCTGCAGTTAATTCCTCTATCCTGTTATATCCTATACAAACCTTTCAATCTCATGTATCTAGACTTTGTTTATTCAGCACCTCTGGCATTTCACATCAACTTCATAAAGGGTTTATCTTGGATGCCCTTGAATCCTCAATCTGTTTTTTTTTCCTTTTCCAGTTTCAGTATCAATAACACATTGCCAATTGATTGTCTTGTTTGGCCCGCAGGCTGCTAGTTGAACAGCCCTGATATAGGGGCTACAACTGTGTCTGATTATCGGTCTATGTTCATAACTGTCTACGTTGTTGTAAAATACAGTCAATGAGAGTTGTATCCCTTTACTTCAACATCCACCGAAGTAGACAGCAGTTATGAAAAAAAAAATGAACACAGAGGAATCCTTTTTTTTAAATTCCTTGAAGTATTTTAGGTGTATGGAGCTTTAATACTGAACTTTATTGGTAGATAACAAATCAAATGGTTTGGCCATGTGACAAGATTGGCAGCAGACAGGGCACCACAGAGAGCAATGTTATACAGATACAACAGTAACAGAGCCAGAGATTTACCACGCAGAAAATGGAATGCATAAATATTAGAGACACTGTAAAGAACTTTATACGAAGCGAACAGAAGGGCCCGGTTCTAGAGATCTCTTCCTGCCCTGACGCCGCATGGCATTCCAGGAGTAGAGAAAATAAGAAAAAGAGGAGCTTCGTTTTACAGTTCATCCAGCATGGCGTTGGTACTCATGCCCTGCTTTCTGTCTCATATAATGTCATTTCTAATTCAAATGTTTGTCCATATGATGTTGCCAAACAGTCTAGCATTTTCTCTTATGATCTCCCTCCGTATTTCCTCCCTTGAACTTTCCTTTGTCAAAATGTACTAAATTTCTTTCTGTCACAATGTGACCCTAAGAATGTAGACTATCTCTTATATGGGTAATCAATTCTCTTTGTGAGTTACTTTCTTTCAAGACATCTTACTACATTTTTTTTATTTTTTTTTACTGCAACTTTCCCATAATTTTGTCAGTTAATCAAACAATAAAATCTATTATATGAGCTGCCGTTAATCAGTCACAAAATCAGAACTGTCACAACAAATTAAGAGGACAATACTCACTGTCATAGGAATATTCACGGTCCTCTTCTCTTGCAGATCCTGGAAAGTATTGCCCTCTTTAACTTCTTGACCCTCATAGGTGGAAATCATCCCAATGACAATGAGCCTTCCATAAATTGCCAGACTAGTATAGGAGAAAACAAGAGAGACCAAAGCTGTCACATCTTCAAATAATGCTATCATAATCATCTTTAATATTTGCTACCAAACATCATCTTCTTTTGCCCTTCTGCCCCCAGTGATTACCGATTTAAGAATCAACATCATAGCACACCGAAACATACTCACAGATGCTCTATCTCCAGCAGAAAATGTCTTGAGGTGTAGCTACTGAATGTTCATGCAGCATCAATACACTCATCGATCTCTTCCTTTCACACATCCCTGCTTGGCAGATCCCCTCCTAACTCTCTGTTCACACATTCTTACAAATGTAATTTCACCTAACCTTGTGTCTTCTATCTGCATCTGTTCATAAACAATTTCAGAATATCTCCTTTGTTCAGTCTGAGTGTCCCTGTATTTCGTTTGAAGCACTGGCTTTCAATTAACTTGAGCCAAGCAATTTTATCCTTTGCATTTGCTTGTAGCTCATTCTTACTGTAATTTTAATCTTAGTGTCCAATTCAAATTTCAAGTCGTGCTCTCAAAGTCATGGGTTTGACTCACAGACTGTACTGATTGGTTCATGATACAATTTTTTGCAGAGATCCCTGGGGATTGTTGCTGGAGCTAGGGAGTTGTGATTTGTGCAGTGTTCTGCAGAAAGAGAGAGAGAGAGAGAGAGAGAGAGAGAGAGAGAGAGAGAGAGAGAGAGAGAGAGAGAGAGAGACTGAGCTATATGGGATAAAACCCTGTGCAATTAAATCAGCCTTCTCGACTTCAACTTAATTTTACATCTGCAAATGTTTGCCTAAGCATTTACCTAGTCAGCATACTCTTAATAAGTACAATAAGCACAAGGGTCCACTGAAATTTTGTATCATCCAAGAAGGCTAGATGTCCAATCCATTACTAAAGGAAAAAAAGAGCCGTATACCTATCAATCTCTGTCGATAAGCTACTACACAGATAATGACAGAAGACAATTGTAGTCCTAGGGACCACTGATTTTAGGAACAGCATCTGCAGTGCTTTATTAATATCCTACCTCAGGGGAAATCCACAGGTCACAGGACAGTCTAATATTTCAGGGGGTGGTAGATAGGCTGCACACAGTTGTGGAACCTAGGCTGCATGCCTTCATGGGACCTAGGCTGCACTCTCTAATGGGACGTAGGTGGGTTGAGGCTAGGGCCAGTTGTAGATGTTTGGGGTCGTTAAAGGTACTAGAAAGCTGGGCAACCATGTCTTACCACCTTCTAAAATATTGGACTGTCCTGTGACGTCATCAGGGGTAAGATATTAATTAAAGAACAGCATCTGCTGCAATAATATACAAATATTATATAAAATACGCTACCAGGATCCCTCCTAGTGTTGTTGCATATCTTTTGCAGGATGCTGAAAAACCAACCCGAGCATTTAACCCTTTTTGTGATTTTTCTAGGCAATTTTACTTTCACTAGTTTGTCACTGCTTTCTCAATAGTCAGTGCTTCATACCATTATCAAAATAAATGCAAAATGGTCTTCTTCCAAATCACTTGCAGCTAACTGAATCAAGCTTGATATTTAGGAATTTTGAAGGGCATTTGCAATGTCTGAGCCACAGTTACTGAGTTACTATAAAACAATGGTGATAACAATTGAAAAAAATGCAACAAACTTACTTCTTGAGAGCAGTATCAAACATTTCATTTCCAACAGATTCATAAACAACATCTACACCTTTCTGTAACAAAAGAGAATCCAGAATAATGTATTAGAAAACATACACTTCAAAATATCGTTGGCAAGTTCATGAACAGTCATTTTATCTGTATTTCAAAACAATGTTAATTAATAGATATACTCAAAATAATGCATACACTGCTGTAAATTAAGTTACATTTTCTTATCAAATTATCAACTATATATTTTCTTACCAAATTATCAATTGAGGAAACATAAATTACACAAAGAAAATTTAGTATTTCTGAATAGCTGACCACAAACAGTCAAAATCCACAGGTCACTGGACAGGCCAATATTTCAGGGGGTGGAGAGTTCTGTAGTTTGGCATTTCATTTGCTGTGCGGTTTTGTGCTGTACAGTTTAGAGTTTTGTGTGCTGTGTATTTTTATTGTGTGATTATGTGTTGTGCACTCTATGTGCAATCGGGACAATACAGTTTTTTGTTGTTGTTACTGGGGAAGAGGATGCAGTTTTGCAATTTATCTGTGTGAAACTCTATTAAGTGTAACAATGTTCCTAGTTCAATTTCCAGTAGTATTTTTTCCCTTCATCTCCCAGTTGTTCTCAAACAACTCAAATCAAGTCCTTAACTGTAACAGCAGTAATTTTAAACAACATTATCCTGTTCAATTCATCTAGGTTACAAATGAGAGATATTGTTTTTTTAATGTAAGTAGGGAATAATTGTGCCAAACAATTAATTAGGGGGGAGGGGGGGGGGGGGGGGGGGGGGGGTTGTTATTTACATAGATTATTTGTAATTGTAACAGATTGTATTTTAGCCTTTTAAAGTTAAATAAACAATTATGATAATCATATTGTGTAATCTTCCTCATTTTACCTGCGGAAAGTTCTGGTTGTTTTCCCACTTCTGGTCTTTAGTCTTGTTCTAGAGCTTGAGTTGCGTGCACATCCATTTGACAGATCTGGCTTATTTGTATGCAGACTGTTGGTTACTTGTCTCTCAGGCAGATGCACTCTGACTTTGAAGGAAACCACCCATTAGTCAACTGTTACGATATGCTTGTTTGGTGAGGCAGTGGCTATTTCTTTTCCTCCCACAATGGGTCCCAGAAACCAACACAGGGACTACAATGTAATCTATCTTTGGTAATTAATATTTAAAATGATCTGGGATAACATTAGTTATGTCTTAAGATGTGCTAACACCTAGTATATAAACCTTTGTTCTTGTGATGTTCTGTCTAGCCCTTCCCTGTAGTTCTCAAGAGCCATCTGTCGCTAGCATGGTTTCTTTGTTCTTGTGATGTTCTGTTTAACCCTTCCCTGTAGTTCTCAAGAGCCATCTGTCGCTAGCATGGTTTCTTTGTTCTTGTGATGTTCTGTTTAACTCTTCCCTGTAGTTCTCAAGAGCCATCTATCGCTTACATGGTTTCTTTGTTCTTTATAAAAAGTTTCATGATTGGCTGGAGTTATTAGCTAAAGTTTTCTATGAGATAAAATAGTGAGACCTACCGGATACTCTTTGGACAGAACTTCACCCAGCGACTCTTTTCTGTAGTTCACTGCTCGGTCACAGCCAATGCTCTGTAAAGGCGAACAGAAAGTATTAGTGTTAAAATTAACTTGTTCACTTATTAACCCTTTCCATCCCAAACATTTGTTATTTTAACTCCACCTTCACCAAGGAGCTGAACTTAATAAATACTTAGGGCTGAAGGAGTTGAACAAAAGCACTGTGGCAGAGAAGTGGTTAAACTAATAAATTAGATTCAAGCGGTTTATTTAACAACTGTCTGTGATAGATGACAGCAAGAACATCATATTATGATAAAAATGATCAAGAAACATTTATTGCATTGTTTGATACTGGGAAAAGTTGAATATTCTCAGCTCTGGGTGGAATTATTCTTCGGGCTTCATGCGCCCAAGTAACCTCATTTCACTTCGACCAGGAATATCATCTTCGTCAAACTAAGACACATGCCAAGAGGACAGAAAATCTGCCCTCTTGATGACTAATAAGCATCCATGCCAGAAGTGGACAGCTCAATATATTAGTTACTTTAGCTACAAAGTCAAACTCATGAGCTAGTTTAGGACCAATGATTATCTGGGAGAAAAGGCAGATAAAAAAGGAGAAGAAAAATACAAGGTAGAGAAACAATATTTTTAAGATCTTTTTCTTCAGCTTTCCGAGCCTGTAAGATATCACCCGCCTCTACTCATCTCTCTGGTTGGTCTTCTCTTTCCAGTTGGTGACACCTAGTGTTTGCAGGTCTGTCAGGACATTACCTCTCCATCATCTCCCTTGTGTATACAGTTTTCACTTCTCTGTCATCTAACATTCTTTCAATATGCCCCAACCATTTCAGTCTATTAGCATTCATGATGCTAGTGACCAGTGGTGATTTAAAAAGATTATGAATTTCGTTATTGCTTCTCACTCTCCATTCCCCTCTGTTTGCATATTTGATGAGTCCAAAGATTTGTCGTAAGACTCTGTTTTTGAAAACCTGTATATTACCAGACTGTATTCTAGAGAGAATTTTTTCTATCATCATGTTGGAGCAGTTGAAGTTTGCATCCTTTTAAGATCTCAGATACTAAATGAATTTTTTTAATTTTTAAAAGGGAAAAACAAAACTACATCCATAACTATAATTATTTAAAATTTAATGTATATAAATTAAGTCTTACAATTTTTAGTATATTGTTCTGTATGCTTACCTTTAGAAAATCAGTTTTATCATCACTTGAGCATGTTCCAATTACTTGACAACCTGCCAGTTTGGCTATCTGTACCTGCAAACAACAAAACAAAACAATAAAATCTGAAAGAAACTAATTATTTATATACAAATAGTAAAAGAGTAAAGAAAACTCTATGGAAAATCTGGTCTTAGAAGTTTGCACTAACAGGAGTTTACATTTATTAGGATACTTCATCATGAGTATCTGTGACATCCACTTTATGTCACTTGATTGACTAAAGATATATTGAGTTAGAAACATTTCCTGACACAAGTGAGAGCTGCTTGTGAGACTCTAGATTGATAAGCCCCATTCACTGGTAAGCCCCATTCAATGGTAAGCCCCATTCATTGGTAAGCCCCATTCACTGGTAAGCTCCATTCACTGGTAAGCCCCATTCACTGGTAAGCTCTGTTCACTATACTGTCACAATGTCTGTTCTTACACATGCCGTAACATACTTTCTGTGAATGTCGGGAAATGGACTGAATCTCTAACCTTGAAAGGCAAGGGTGCAAAATACTAAGCAAGTTAAGAATCTTTCAGCAGAAGGAAATCAGGATGAATAGTCTGTTGTCCTGACAAAATTTCCTAAATGAGAAAACATACCAAAAAAAGAATGAAGCTAATGAAAGTAGATCTCTATATGCGACAATAAAAAAAAGACAGACACTGTTCTTTGGTCATGTAATGAGAAAAGAAGCACTGGAAAACATCGTGACAACTGGAAAGATCAGTGGGAAAAGGTGTAGAGGCAGACCAAGAAAGATGATGCTGGCTGGGCTGAAACAATGGCATGGAGGGATATCATCACGAGAGCTGTTTGATGCAACCAGGGATCCTGATCTGTGGAGATGCATGAGCACTTGCTCCAACTGAGAGGGCACAAAATGATGATGACCCCCCCAAAAAAACCACTATATTTTGAGACACAATGTTTCTTAGGTTACGTGTTTATTATCCATGGTTCACAAGCATACAACATAACAGTACAGGCTCTGTAATCATCATTATGTGCCCTGCAAGGTGGCAAAAATGCTGCTAGCTATCCACAGATCTCGGTCATTAGCATTCTGAATAAATTCCACTGATGATATTCCTTCAGGTCATTAAGCATCAATTCTATTAGTCTGCCTCTTCTACGGCTGACCTTTCCAGGTCATGGCAATGTTCTCCAAAGCATCTCTTCTAACCAATAGACTGAAGATCACTGACTGCCTCTTTTTTATTATACAGGCTCTATACAGCACTTTTGTGCCAACTGGTCTAGCCCTATATGCCCTATACGCCTGAAGGCGGGGAAAAGTGTTCTTTACTTTTACTTTACAGCACTTTGATAAAAGGCAATTCTTATGACAACTGGCAGACAGTTATTGATAAACATGTTATTCATCTCTTGGTATATGGCAGTGTTTAGTGATTAGTGAGGACTATCGTATCCAGATCCATAGTTCCTTCAATTTCCTCCTTATCAGATCCACAAAAGTAAAACGTGTATATTAATCAGATGCCTTCTGCCCTTGGTGAAATGTTCATGTGTGGCTGCTCCAGGTTGCCCTCCCATATCCACCAGCCCAGACAATGATGAGTCCTGCTTGTTGTTGTGATTTTCTTCACGGTATGCATCTCGCAAAGCATTGATAACATCACTCCTATCCAGTGCGGGGCCAGTCGTGGTAACAGCCTTGCCTGCCAGATAATATACATGCTCATTGCCTTGAACACCTGCATGGCCGGGTTCAAAGACAAAGGTAAGGCAAGTTATTCATGATACATTTAATGGGCTAATCCATTCATGACTGATGAAGCTGGTCTGGATTTTCCTGAGTATGTTCATTGAATTGCTCAGTGTACAATGCAAATGTGAATTCTTGAGTACCCAGCCATGTCAGTGAACTGCTTGCTGCAGCCATGGTTTTCACTGTGAGGCTCCTGGCTGTAACAGCAAAGGCACCACTCACCTCTCCCTAATGGTTTTTTCTTTGCGCTCCATACTTTTCTTGTCCTGGGTGACCGATCCATCCATGAAAAACACAACACCATTCACATCCGTGTCCTCATCAATCAGAATAAACACTGTAGTGAAAATTATGACAATAAAGACATAATGATAATTATTTTATTGCCATTATGCCAAAGTCACTGAAAAGTAACTTTGGTGATTTTCATCTAAGTGCATTTTGGGCTGTTATTTTTATACAACAACATAGTTCTTCAGAGATCTCAATGTTCAAATGCAGTTTTCTCGAAACAAAGATTTAGTACTTAGGTAACTCTAGGCGTAACAACAATTATTTCTAGAGTCATTACTTACAGCAAACTGCCCTGTGCCCCCAGCAGCAGCTGAAAGAAAAGTGATTTAAACAGTAAATAACTGAATGAGTTTTCATACACATTAGTGTGAATTCACATTAATTTGCTGACTATACAAAAAAAAAAAAAAGTTCACAATAATTCTACAGTAGAACAAAATCCAGAAGCTTCCTTATACAATTAATGGATTTAGCCTACTGCTTCCTATCTGTTGTTTTTGCAACAATAACACAACATTTTTTTTTTAAACTGTCAAATGATTGCATAATTCAAGTGTAAAAACTGTTTATATAATACATTAAAAAAGCATTAAGTTAATAGAATATCTGCGTTTTCTATTTTCTTTCATTTCCATTTAGCCAAACTATGCCACAGCAACGCGTGGCCGTGTACAGCTAGTATGCAATAAATCAATAGTTTTTAAAATAAGTATGGAGACGAACCTCACACTGTGGATTTCACAAAGATGATTATCACTCTGAAGATAATGTTAAACAAGCATTGATTTAAAAGTTTCTACATTTACCTGTGACAAGCACTGTTTTTCCTGCTTTAAGATCTGCTTCCTGAGAAAAATGAAAACAACAAAATGTTAGAAGTCAGATTTGAAGGAAAAAAAAGAAGAAGAACATTTCTTTAACCCTTCTGCCCCCCCCCCCCCCCCCCCTCTCTTGGGGGGGGGCCCCAAGAATAAAAAAAAATGACCTTTTGTAAAATTCTGTGTCAAAAAAAAAGCCTCTTCATAATTCTCTTCTAATATCTTTATTTAAAATGTTGTCTTAACAGTTTGTGTGTGTAATATGTCACTAGGTCATCCGAGTTAGTGTAGTGGTAGTGCAGTTTGCACTCAACTTCTCAGCAATAACAAGCAAAAAAAAACCTGTTTTCATGCAATGGGGCGTATTTGACATTGGCTGATAAAGTTAAAAAGTAAATTGCGTATCATTTACAGCATGTTGCAGAACCAACTAAAGCATTTTTTCGCTGTTGTGGTTTTTTTCAGGCAAATTGTAAGTTCAGTAGTCTGCCACTGCTTTCTAAACAGTCAGCTCTCAGTACCACTGTCAAAACCAAAGCAAGACAAAATGTCTGCAGCTGGGTACGAGTCTGCCACCCTGGCATTACGAAGCACGTTCGCAACGCCTAAGCCACAGATGATAGGCTGATAGCCCTAAATTATTACAGACTAACTGGCATAATAAAAGTGATGCAGTAATTACCATGCCAGCCCTTTTAACTTTCCAAACTTTTCTTGATAATTATTTTTAGGCTGGAGTTGATCTGCAAGCCAAAATAATTTTTCTTTCAAAATGTGCCTCAATCCAGGTACTTACCTCTTTGTTTTCCATCTGTTCTTATCTTATCAAATTGGCCAGCTGTCACACAGATTTGAAGTTTATTTCTCCACATAATAATTAGCTCAGTCATCAAGATCATGTAGCTGGTCCTTTGCAGAACGTCGCTCTCATCACGGTCTGCATGGAAAAAACTTGGTCTCTTGCCAGCTCTCCCGCATCATGTACTTTCATATTCAGAGAGTCACTTAAATCAGGTGCCCATGTCTGTGATTGTTGGCCCCTGCATCGTCTTCCTGGTACCATGCTCAATCAGTCAACTCTAATCAGTGGACAGTATTCATAAATTTCCTGAACAACTACCTCAGAAATTGTTCTGCCTGTCCATGCTATTCTTTGCATTATTTTAAAATCACAATTTTCACTGCAATTAGACAATTCTTCTCAGTTTTTCTAATTACTGTCTGTTTCTCATTCACACAACAGCACAAGTTCTGTTTAACAAGCACGCCCCGTGGCACTGACAGATAACCTCACCTTTTCTAAAGCAACGGAAGCTGTGAGGCCACTGACCATGAGAGAGAGATAGGCAGGGTCGACTGATGGGACTGGTATAGCTGCTGACTCTTCAACTGCCTGAGGTAACAAATGAAAAAAATTAAGACTTCTTTATTCCCAGTGCACTTATTCATCATAGATATAAGCAGTTTATGCAGATAAAAATTAGGTAAATAAATGGTTTTTTTTTGGAGGGGGGTATTAAGACAATAAACAACAAAATCATTTAAATACAAAGTAATGCTTCTAATCATTACCTGGCTGTAAACTCTGGTGGAAAGTTCTGGTTGTTCATCCATTTCTGGATGTTGTTCCAGTTCCAGAACTTGAGTTCTGCTTGCACATCCATTTTACAGGTCTGGCTTATTGGTATGCAGACTGCTGGTTCCTTTCCTCTGAGTCAGAAGCACTCTAACTTTGAAGTAAACATTCCTAATTAGGGGGCACTGGATCTATCCCCCCCCCCCCCCAACAATGGAGCCCTGGAACACGGGGAAAGTAAAAAATAATGGTATAACACTTCTTACTCTTCCACTACCTGGTATTGCTAAGGATAAGATCAAGATGATTAATACTCACAATATAGTCAGAAAAAGCTCCAAACTTGGAGTACAGCACAATCTGTCCAACCTTTAAACTGGCCTCTGGTCCAGTACCAACTACTTCACCTAAACCCTGCAGAAATGGGAAATATACAGCCAACTATGATACACAGAAGAACAAAACAAAAAACAGCAAATAACATACATCCACATTTTTATGACAACTACTGTCTCTGCCTACTGTTTCTTTGCATGGGTCTTTTTCTTATTCACTGTTATAAATCATTACATCATAACCCATAGAAGACTGCATGGTACACCAGGGTAATATAGCCATTATGGGTGTCCTAATTATAATTTCTTAGGGTGTTGAATCAGGTAGCCAGGATTTCCCTGATAGTTTGCCATCCAGGATGTGAAGTTGATGGGGTTATCAAGTGTTCAGCTAGCAGGCAGAGAGGGAAAAAGAGACTGCCAGGCTTCAATGTTTGTTTCCATATTTTATTTATCCATTATTGGTGTCTTCCTTTTATTATTTCTAAATTCTTCTCTGCATCTGATTTCTTTTTCTTCTTCTCCTTAGTGTTCACCAGCTGTCAACTGTGGCTGAAAGTACTGGCTGTCTGTTCAATTCTTGACTTTAGTCTTGTTTCATAACTTGACTTGAGTTTTTGCATCAACATCCGTTTTATAGATCTGACTTATTTGTATGCAGACTGTTGGTACATTGCCTCTCAGGCAAATGCATCCCGAGTTTGAAGAAACAACATCCCTGATTAGCCACACTTGTTAAGGTGGCAGGGAGTCTATTTTTCCACTCCCAAAATGGGTCACCGGAACCCACTCGGGGAGCATTTTATTTGTACGTGTAACTGATTTTTTCTCTCACTTTCTTTGTTTAACTGTTATGATTTGTGTCTCTCTTTATCATGTTCATAAATGCTTTCCTTTCCATCCGCACTGTTATCTATATTTCTGCCCCCCCCCCCCCCATTTGATTTTTATGTCTCTGTATGTAATTTAGAATTGGATCTAAATTAAGTCAACAACATTAAAACTGGCAGAGAAACATATGGGATGAAATGCATGACATCATCACTGTGTTGGATATCAAGCCATCATCATCATGATCCAAACTGAGTGACGCAAGAGACCATGCTCCTCCCCAAATGTGTCTTTCGTTCTCTTGGTAAATTGATCACTGATTGTCTTCTGTCCACTTTTAAAGCATATCTAGCATTTTGTGTGTGTCTTTGTCAACATCCATGTCTAACAAACAAATGTCATCCAGATTATAATTTGCTTCAGACTCACTCATCTCATAACATGATCTTCTTCTTCTCTTCCTCCACTTACACTATTAAAATGGTGAAGATGTAAGGATCTTCAGTATACTTTTTGTCATGTGTTGCATAAGTTGATTTTCATTTCTTAAAGGTTGTTCCTGATGCTGTCATTCCATATTTTGCATGGTCATCTACTTACTCTGTGTGTGTTCATTATATTTCTTTAGCATGACTCTCTGTGGCAGTTATTCATCAAATGGCCAAACACATCTCTTCTGTGTCTCTTTGCCTGAACTGTAATGACTGGTTTCAGTCCTAGACATCATCTAAGTTCTTAATTTTTTTTTTAATTGTACTTCTTTTTGTAACTCTGTTACCTTTTGTAAGAATCTCATCTCAGTTGGTATGATTTTGCACTCATCTGTCATGGTAAGGATCCATGTATGACACTGGTAGCACACAGTCGGCCCAAAAATATTCTAACATGACCAAAACTCACACAACATGTCTCAATGTGTGCAATCAACCCTCTTTGTGAATTGACCACTTGAGGGATATTGCTATTTTTTTTTCATCTAAAAGAACTTAATGAAACAAATGAAGACCTTTATGAGATGAAAGTAGAACTTAATGAAACAAATGAAGACCTTTATGAGATGAAAGTAGAACTTAATGAAACAAATGAAGACCTTTATGAGATGAAAGTAGAACTTAATGAAACTAATATATCTAACCTCAAATCCTGTAGGGAAAGGTGGCTTCTTCTTGGGGTCGTATCTGCCAGCGGTGTAGTTAATATCTGACGCATTGACGCCCACATACCTGTAGACAGACACCAGTTTGGTTAAATCACCAGCTACTATCATGAAGCTAATCATCAATATTGTACAGGAAAATGAGAATAGTTAAACTATTACCATGCCTGTTTACAGAAATTAAGTAAATATTTAAAAACAAGGTCAGTATAACTATGTACTTTTGTTTAAATCTGTTTTTCTTGGTACCTATAATTATGGGAGCTGGCGTAGGGTAGAGGGTAGATGCTAACCTGCAGATCTGAAGGTCATGGGTTCAAATCCGAACAGAGGCAGACTTTTTTTTTTTTAAATTTCAAAGATGATTTTGGCTCCCAGATCGACCGAAGCCTAAATGGGTACCACGTAATGTCCTGGGAAGTAAAGGTGGCTGGTGTGATTTTGATTACATCACCCATCTAGTGCCAATTGCTCTATAAATTATAGGTCTAGCACTAAATCCTCAATAAGCCTGAAGGTATAGAGAAAGGTCCTTTTATCATTAGGTTTAAATCTCTTTTTATGGGAGGAGGAGGAAAGGGGGGGAGGTGGTTCCTTGTTTGTTAATTAACAAGGTCAGTATAATTATGTGCTACAGTTTGAATTGTTTGTCCTTTCCTGTTTCCTTTTATCTCCTTTATTAAGCTTTTTAGACATTTTCCAATAGCATTAACTTTGTGTCTCATAAAGAGGTCAATACAGACAAGTTGGAAAAGCGACCTTTATGGAAAATTGGACCCAACTGGACGTGTTGGTTTTGTAGTGTCTCTGGTGAAAGGATTAAACTAGTAAATTAAACATGTCATAATGAATTCAACATCTTAGGGCAAGCAAACATTTTCAAGTCACCCACCTGTTCTTCACCAGAATTTCTTTCGGACCTGGTTTGGGAATTTCAACCTCAACAATTTCAGTGGCTTCCCGGAAATTTGATGCCAGTTTTTTCACAATGATCGTACGCATCTTGGACGGAATTCTGCGATATGCCATACTAATGATTTGAAAAGTAAAAATAAGAAAAACAAAAACAATTAAATCTTCAAGTGATTTTTTTTCATTAAGAAAATAAAAACATGAATGTAACAACTAGTACAATAACAATGTATTTTAATAAGGGCTGATTCCCGTTGGGTTGCGAGGGCACCATTTGAGGGGGAAAAAAGATCTGATCTGATGTTACTTTAGGGGTGGGGGAGGAGTGATTGTCAGGAGTGGCTCGACTGTGTACAAAACTGGACTTTCGTGCGGTCGACCCAGGTTCGAGTCTTTGTTAACCTCGTGTTTTTTTTTTTTTTTGGGGGGGGGGGGGGGGGGGGGGGGGGGGGGGGGGGGGGGGGGAGGGGCAAAAGAATACTAATCCACAGCACTAGCTATCCACAGGCTCAAAGGCCACCCTGCCTGCGTGTAATTTTGAAGACCTCTGTTCAGATCAATTTATTTTCAATGTAATCAATTTTTTAAACTGTTTTTAACCGCATGTATTTGCCATATTTTAGAGTGGTACAGAACAGGGGACCGTCAGCTTGAAGATTTAGGACCGTTTGGCTAATGCAGTCACCACGATCTGTACAGATAAGGATATTTATTTGTTTGCCCCGACATAAATTGTGGCCATCACTGGATTTGAACCTTAGTCTCCCACAGTAAAGCTAAGCGTCCCTAGCCACTCTGCTATCTGGAGTAACAGTCAAATCAGCAGCCAGTAATTTACTTACACTAAAGTTTAGTTCAACAGGTTTAAAGTCAACGGGATCGACCTCATTGCACCAGGTTTAAAACAATTAAATCTTCAAGTGATTTTTTTTCATTAAGAAAATAAAAACATGAATGTAACAACTAGTACAATAACAATGTATTTTAATAAGGGCTGATTCCCGTTGGGTTGCGAGGGCACCATTTGAGGGGGAAAAAAGATCTGATCTACTGCCCTTCTACCTCCTCCACACACACCCTAACAAGCATATCATAAAAGTAGACTAATTATGGCATTTCCTTAGGAGTCAAAGTGCATCTGCATGAGAGGCAAGGAATCAACAGTCTGCAAACAAATAAGCCTAATATGTAAAACTGATATGCATACAAAACTCAAGTTATGGAACAATACTAAAGTCCAGAAGTGGATGAACAACCAGAACTTTCCACCGGAGTTTACAGCTAGTGGATGTGAAGAATAAGATTAGCGCAAAGACAATAAAATCCTGTCCAGGCAGTTGCCATATAAGGACGTGCTGAAAGTTGTGATATAAAGATCCCCAAACACTCCCATTTATAGGAAGTCTATAAGGTAATGTAATCCTATTACACAAGAGCAACATTTTAGGAACATTACTTTACAACAATCAGTGTCGAAGTATGACAGCTTTGAAAAAAATCGCCTCATCCATAGTCTATGTGTTCTAAGCCCCGGAGGTATCAATGTTTAACATACCTTCATATAAACAGTTTTACTACTGTCATATTGTTTTTATTTTTAATTTAATATTATTTTATTCTATCTCTTATCAGTACCACCTATGGGTCCTTAACATTTGTATTTCTACTTTTATTCCTACTATTTTATATATTACTATTACTTTTATGACTTTTTTCAGCTTTCCCTTATTTTGTTTTAGTTTATTCATTCCACATCACCTTTTTATATTTCTCATGTAACCACCTGGTGGGCGCTGGTTGTTGGAGTACTCTTCCCTTTGTTATTGTTGTGTAGATAATTCAGGTTGTCAAAAAAGTCCCTGGCCAAAATGTCGATTTGTGTGTTTTTGCACATTGTTCTGCTTGCCCATTTCTTTGAGCTTTTTAGTCACAGTTCACTGGATTAATTTCTTAGTATTGGCACCAGTAATGATGACATTAAGTATCACCCTGATATTTTTTAATCACACCACATCGGCATCATTTTGAGGGTGCCACATCAGCGATATATTTTGGGGACTCTACATCTCAAGCTCTCCCCCCTACTTCCACACAAAACCTGGGGGTGGGGAAGGGAGAGTCTCCTCCCTTCCCCAAATCCATAAACTTGCTACGCTGCCCAACTTAGGGCAAGCATGTATACAATGGAAGACTAGAAAATTCTCTTTATAAACTTTTGTTTCTATTTATTGAAAATTGAATATGAATTTAATTTCAAATATATTAATATATATTTCAATACTTATTAGCCATTTAATGCATTATTATTTTAAGTACTTAAATAATGTTTAGGTGTCTACAGTCCCCTCCCTCTTTAGAAAATATGTAAGGCAAGCAGAGTGAACCCCTCAATGTTTTCAATGTGTCAGTACCTCTGATGATACTAACTTTACTTCTAGTGTCTTTCATTATACTATTTATACTGTCGGCTTATACTTTTATCTAAACTGCATCTGGTTAAGTCTAAGCTTGGAATGTGAAGGAGAGCAGGTTAAATCCAATTCGGCATAACAGAAGAAACTGAAATAAGTATATTTTTTTTTTGGGGGGGGGGGGGGGTAATATTTAATATTTTATTATTTTTTATATGGCAAAGTGACAGGCTAATGACTCAGTCAGTCGACTGCACTCTCGACATAAATCGTATAAAGTGAAACAGCTAAACGCCACTGACACTGCAGCATTGATTGATGACTGCTTCCTCTGAACTAAATAAATCATTAAAATAAATATTAAATAGAAATGCGCAATTTATGTCCAAGATTAATATGCAGATGGCATTATTAAAATGCAATAAGTGTACATCCACAGCTCACTTTCTAAAATATCACTGTACACTAAATTATGTCCTGAAGACAACAAGAACGGGACTGAAGCTCAAGCAGCGGAAACTGTACCGCCATTACAACAACAGCTGATGTTCAAAAAGAAAATGTCCGCTGCAGTGTTGCCACTTTTCTTTGACAAAAAAAAAAACAAACATCCAAAACGGAGTCAAAAAATATCTAAAAACATATGAATTTGCGTGAAAAAAAATCTAGAAAAAAACATCCAAATGGAAAGAGTCACAAATTACATAGCAATTGATATGACCCACACTATAGAATCATGTCCCCATCTTTACTGAAGCCTGTCTTACAAGATCTACAGGATAAAATATGCTTGGATGATGAAGTTGAAGCTTCAGATTCAAAATGACTCTGGTATGCTTTAGCTGTTTCAATTTCTTTTAATACACGATCAGGGAGCTGATAAGGGAAACAGCCATTTCCTACTCTTTTCAGGGCGAATTTTATGGTCAAGATATCATTTAAGAGGTCAAATTTCATCTTGTTTCTTAGGTAAGATTTGATAAATTTACTCCAAATGAAAAATATCTAGGAAAACATCTACAATTTAAACGTCGAAAACGCTATCTAAATGCAAAAGAAAACATCTAAATCTGGATGTAAAACATCCAAAGTGGCAACACTGGTCCGCTGGATGGGTCGAGAGCAGGGCTGCCAATGAGATTTTTTAAATCAAATCCCAAGCTAAGCTGGCACCAGCAATACAAAAGTAAAGGACAAAAAAAAAAAAACCCAGTATTTATTAAATAAATATTACATTTTATAGTTACGAAACGAAACATTAAGCCACTTTTATATAAGGATATATAGATTATCGGAGCCGGACTTTCTTCAAAAATGACCTTGGCTCCTAGGTCAACCCAGCCTTGAGTGGGTACCGGGTGCAGTCCCGGGAAAGTAAAGGCGGCCGGCGTGTTACTGACCACATCACCCATCTTGTGCCGATTGGTCTATAAAAATATAGGTCTAGCCCTATATGCCTAAGGCGTGGAAAAGGGTCCTTTACTACTTTTTTACTTATATAGATTATATATAAAACCCAAAATTTCAAAAAATTTGAACCCATGGCCCAAATAAAAACCCAGATCTGGGGGTTTAAACCATCATTGGCAGCCCTGGAATCGAGACCAAGTCTTTATATCTTTATTGCTTGTATTTGTCACTATTCTACTAATTGTCCGGTTGTGTCGCAAGACGATGAAAGCTTTCTGTCCGTGATATTCATTCTGTTGTTCGTGATCGTGGCATCATTATAATGAAGGTGACTAGCTGCACTTCTTTTTTAGTTTGATATTTGTTTGTCATATTTTACAAGATTTTACCAAAGGTTAAAGTCGAGAGGATCGACTTCATTGCACCGGGTTTTACCCCATTTGGCTCAGTCTTTCTCCACAGAACGGCTAGCCAACTACCGAGAGCCTCGCACAAAACAAAAACTCCATTTAGCGTGATCCCCAGAAATTTCCCTAAGACAAAACCCACAGAGCACGAACTCCTTAGCTCAGGCGACGATCAATATTAACCTCCGTAAAAATTGTACTCGTGAACTGAAGGGCGCAGCTGTGGAGCGAACCCACAACCTTCAGAGCGTGAGGCAAACGACTTGACCACCGAGACTCCCGAGTTGTTACTTTAGGGGTGGGGGAGGAGTGATTGTCAGGAGTGGCTCGACTGTGTACAAAACTGGACTTTCGTGCGGTCGACCCAGGTTCGAGTCTTTGTTAACCTCGTGTTTTTTTTTTTTTTTTTTGGGGGGGGGGGGGAGGGGCAAAAGAATACTAATCCACAGCACTAGCTATCCACAGGCTCAAAGGCCACCCTGCCTGCGTGTAATTTTGAAGACCTCTGTTCAGATCAATTTATTTTCAATGTAATCAATTTTTTAAACTGTTTTTAACCGCATGTATTTGCCATATTTTAGAGTGGTACAGAACAGGGGACAGTCAGCTTGAAGATTTAGGACCGTTTGGCTAATGCAGTCACCACGATCTGTACAGATAAGGATATTTATTTGTTTGCCCCGACATAAATTGTGGCCATCACTGGATTTGAACCTTAGTCTCCCACAGTAAAGCTAAGCGTCCCTAGCCACTCTGCTATCTGGAGTAACAGTCAAATCAGCAGCCAGTAATTTACTTACACTAAAGTTTAGTTCAACAGGTTTAAAGTCAACGGGATCGACCTCATTGCACCAGGTTTAATCCTATGTGGCTCGGTCTTTCTCAGGAG